AATTCCATATCCGTCCATTATAATTTGTCCTAACGCTGTCCTTTGGGCAACTGCTGATTACCAATATAATGCAAACATAGTTCTACGACTGTACTCTACTAATATAGATTTTGTTATATTTATTTATCATATTTTTCATATAAATCATTTATTATGTCAATAAATATATGAAGAACAGTAAATAATGACTTTCTCTCCAAGGTAATTGTTTTGAAGTAAATATATGAAACGCCTGAAATCGATAGCTTAGCGAGACTGAGAATCTTTAAGGATCGAGAATATGTAGCAGCATCATAAAAAATTCTTTATTCTAGTCTTCAACAATATTGTTAATTATTAATTTTGTGAAGTCAAAATCATTTCACATTTTTACTGTCCGATTTTCAAATGATTTTCAGTTCCGCCTCTAAGACTAGTATATAAAAATCTAGGATTATGATAAGGAATAGATGATTTATCAACTTAGACTTTTCCACTTTTGGAAGGGCGCGTTGTCTTGTGTATTATGGTTATGTATTTTTAACTCAAGGAAATTATATTTGATAGAGTAGAGTGTCTATGTTTCAATATCTGCCTATTAGAAAGTGTAGCGTACTGGTCATCGACTAAATTGTCCAAGATTGTAAGTAAGAGTTGCACCCCTTTGGCGATAACGCCCTTCGAAGTTCTATAGACAGTAATAAACATTAATACAATAGAGAGAGGACGTTGGTGAAGTCTAGTCACGTACGAGTCATCTTCGAACCAGCGATGCATCTTCTTTTTGTGTTTAGGTTGGTGATATAGGGAACTACAGTTGTTGCCAAAAGAATCATACTATTGTTCTTCTTCATAGACATCTTTCGTGCAAAGCGATACATGTTATGTAAGGATACTTCACATTTATATGTCATTATCTCCCTTTACTAGGAGATGAGAATGAACTAAGAAACGTTTACCTTAGCACGCAGGCATGACAAACTAACATTTCCCCAAAACATAACAAAAAATATAACATAAATACGACATAATTTAACACAGTAAATCAATAAATGCTTTTACTTGGCAAAATTATACAAGCTAAAATAGAAATGACTGGCAACTGTAATGCATTTCTTCACTACATGAATGATCCATATTTTTCATACATTTTAGCCATATTCTTTAAATATCCCTCATACTGTTTTTCGTATTCTTTTTCCTCTTTCGCCAAGTTGTTATAATAGTCTGCCATTGCTTGATTATCAACACTTTGAGCTGCAATTTGCCCAGTCACAGCATTTGGATCGATCATGCTTGGTGTAGTCAACTGTTGTCTCTTGTTTCGAACTAGCAATGTTTGTTCAGTTACAGACATCAGGAGTATTAGAAACCCTATTTCTAATAACACCTAATAAAAATAATAAGAAATAATTAAGCTTAGTTAACGCTGTGATCGAGACAAAGCACGCAAGAATACTAGACCAATATTGACATATATTCATCGAGAGTGAATGCGATAATTCAGAAACTGACACTTTGTAGAGCATAATGACCTGTAGCTTTGAGTGCCTTCTTTTGATGTCTTGGGATCTGTTTCTATTAAATCAAGTCAAGGAATCTCAAGAGGAACTGAAGTGAAATTTTGTCTTTATTCAGCGTATCCATAATTATCAATAGCACTATCTTGCTTCGGTAAATTTAATGAACCCCCTTCAGTCATACTTGAGTGCATCGGATCACTTAAAGAATGTAACAAGTAATGTTCGCGTTTTGAAGATTAGTGTTCAAACTTTACAAAATCAGTGATATATTACTTCATCTCAGATCAGTGCTAATTGAACACCATAGTGTTACAATCTGCTAGTTCGTAGGAGATCTTTATGTATCCATAAATATTTAATTGTGAATCAGATTGACTATGCAATATTTTCAAAGGCATCAAAACTGCTGTCAGTTTGGAGCATAACATACACTGTTAATGGATAAAAATGTTTCTCTGCCTCGGAATTTCTTTAAACTAAGTCAAGTTCTATAATTTAACAGTATGGAATTTAAAATAATATAGTCATGAAATACATTTAAACTAGATCTAAATTTTATCTTACATTCTTGTGTAGAATACACGTTCGTTTATCAATAAAAACGAATGTATTCAAACTTCAGAACTGATAAGTCTGATCTCAATTTTCAAGAAATATATTTCTTTAATGTTCAAGCTGATAAGAAGAGATCCTACTTCTGAAGTTTTTTGTATCAATTTGCTGTTCTATAAAATCTGTTACTGGAGTTTCATTCTGAATTGCGTTGCGAAATTATATCAGAAAGAATAATATCACAATGTATACGATTGTGCGATCCAACCTATTGCGATTATCACGACATAAAAGAAAACTTACTTACTTTAGGTGAATCCATATTGAGTGAGAATTTTCCTCACACAAATGGATAACGGAAGGTAATATATACTTCTGTTTTGACCGCATTTAAAAAATATGAAATTTATTCTAAGAAATTTTGAAAAAGACAACTTCTGAGGTTAGTTTAATTTTGACATCATTATTTAATAACAATATGCCATCTTGTTTCTCCCATCAGTTAGTCTCTATTTTTATCACCAAATCTTTCTGTTCATGTCATGTCGGCTGCCAACTGCCGTTACATACATATACTAATGTCCTAATTCTTACCGAATCAAAAATAGAAAAGCATAGAAATAAGAAATCCCAACGACAAGGTTTCATCTATATAAAATAATGGCTGTTACATGCGAGGTCGCAATTGCCAACTCATATAGTAGTTGTCCATATAGCTTTAAATGCTTTTTTGGTTATATGGAACCATCAGCTAGTAGGATACCATGCGCTGTACCATTCTAGTTTTAAATAATAACTATGTAGAACTATAATGTAGAAGAAGTAGAAAAGCTATTCATTGCTAATAGATAAAGTAGGGGTGGTCGATTGCAGGAAGGGGTGAAATATTCAACTAAGATGTCCTGGAGCATCGAACTGTTACTATCACATTTTCGAATAATAAAAAAAAATAAATGAATTAAAATGAATTAACTTTAATAACAATATGTTAATAAGCTACTTGACTTGACAAGTCAAAATCCATTTGGATGTTTATATTTTGGTTTTTTGAACAATCTAGACAATCAAGCTACGGGCCTGGTCAGGGTCAAACAAGCTCATCGATTTCATATTAATCAAGATAATGGATAAGTATAGTTTAAAATCAGTGTGCATCCCATATTTTTCACTCATTAAAATAACCAACGGCGTATATTCAAAAAATCACGTTCAGATATCTTAGTTAAAAAATTAACTTTTTAGATCACGTTCTGTGGTTATATTTCCCACCTCGTCTCTCCGGGGGTAATTTATATTTTTATATATAAAGTTTGAAATGAGTTTTTAAGTATAGGGCTAATTTGGTCTCTGTTCTGCTTCAAAATGAACACCATGGGTTTGGTAAGTACCAATTGAGTTATTATTATATTTTAATAGTAATTGATTACTTGTTATTGTTCAGTATTTAAGTATTTTATAAATCTACTTATTTAAGTTTTTTTTATCACGGCATGAACCAACTAGACTATAACATGAGCAGTCACTGCATCGTATGGGATTATAATAACAATGACAGCATCATAATATAATAATACTTTGCAGAATAAAGTTTTTTTTATTCTTCCTTGAGTTGTGTAAAACATTGGGATGAAATTCTCTTTTGTACATTCATGAACTTGGTTCTATAACTACCAAGCATGTACACACTTGCTTGCTTGCTTCTGAAGGGTTGAAATCACTTATTCAAACCACGATGAGTTTTTTATCTAATTTTTATTATAGATATGCCTATGTGTCTGCTTCATAGCCGTATCTATTGTGGAAGGAAACGTAGGGCGTGAAAAGAGACAAGTTGGCCGATGGATGTTCGGAGGTAATTTTGGTGCTCCTTATGATCCTGCAGCAGCTTATGGGCAAATGCGATATGATCCAGCATTTTCTTACGGAGGAGCACCTTATGACCCAGCAGCTGCATACGATCCAGCTAGATTTGCCGGTTTCAATTATGGTAGATTTCGATAAACTATATTCGATGAATAAAACTACTATTTCATTAAATATGATAAAAAAATATTGTGAGATATAATTTTAAAAAAGATATATATGTGCAACAACGGCGTTTTCCTATGTCTATTTTTCCCGAATAGTACACATTGTTTAAAACTTTTGAGTCAAGTATTCATATAATCTTTACGAGTATTTTTTTTTTCAACTGTGAGTTCGCCCGTCTAAACATGTTACACACGAATAACTTGACGTCCTCACGTATGAAATTTCAGCGTTTCAGCAATCGTTGCTGTAGTCTCTAGTGAAATTTGGCATTTTAACTCTTCCTGAATTGGGTTTTGTTATTTGCGATTACAAACCTTAAATTTACTGGGAAATGTCTGGAAATCGCGTTTCCGAACGTCTAATTCTCAAAAATTTCTAGGCGAGATCCCCCAGACCCAATACAAATAATTTTGAACCCTAAATTGGCTCGGAAATGTCAGGAATTTGCCTTTCCAGGCGTCCAGTTTTCTCAAAATTTTCTTGTAGTCCCACAGTCCCTATACAAATAAACCTTAAATTCGCTAAGAAATGTCATGAAATCACGTTTCAGGGATCGTGTTTCGAGGCTTCAATGGCCGTCCTCGGCAACAATAAAGATAGCAATAACTCAAGTGTGAGCATCACTGTAATGCGTAACAATTCAGAAGTACTTTGCTAGCTGATTACAAACAGAGAGAAATGACATAATCGTTTCCTAAATATAACTTATTATCATCACCACACAGATAGTATGTACATATAATTATCAAAGCATGCAATCCAATAAATACAATTTTCAAAAGCAAAGAATTCCTCTTTGTGTCGTTCCGGCGACATTTTTCCTTGCATTTAAATAACAAACTGTACCACATTTATTGGACTACAATCCGGCTAGTCCACTATCTTTTAATTTGTCATTCTAGTTTCTCAAATGAATTAATTATTTCCACCATCCATCTGGTCTCTCATTCTCTCTCTCATCCGTTCCATCTGATCTCGTCTTCTATCCATCAGGTTGTTTTGTCTATCTCTCACTCTATCCATGGCATCCAATATTCGATCTCGACGTTGTTCCATAACGTTTCTCATTCGATCCCTCATTCTGTTCAGTTGTTCACGTTGCCTATTAAGATCATTTTGCAATAAATTTCTCAACTGATTATCCCTGTTTCTCTGTCCATCCATATTCCCCCCTGCACCTCCAGCCAAAAATCCTCTTCTCTGTGCCCATCCTCCGGCATTTCCATCCCATACATCAGCATTGCCGCCCAATGCTCCAATATTGCCATCCCAGGCCCCAACATTGACACCACCATCCCAACCTCCCCCATTTCCATCCCATACATCAGCATTGCCACCCAATGCTCCAACATTGCCATCCCAGACCCCAGCATTGATACCACCATCCCAACCTCCCCCGTTTCCATTCCATCCCCCAAACTCACCACCACCACCCCATGCGCCAGCCAATGGATCACCGATATTCATTCCACCTAAGATACCCCTTATTCGCCGGTTTCTAAAACCGAATGGACTTCCCCAACCAAGAGCTCGCTTTCGTCGCAGTGGTGCTGCATCCGGTGGAATTTGGTTTACTTGCTGAAGTTCTATTTCTGTTGTCTGAATCCCAAAGACGTTCAGGTTGTCATTTTGTTGATGGATAGTAGTGCACAATGCCGGAAACAACAAACAAACCTGTAAAACAAAATATATAACATACATTAACATCTGCTTATCGTGGGTTTATTAATATAGGCTAGTATACTATTTAAAAGGGGCACATCGTTTTGTTTTTTTGTAGGTCGAAAAAAGTTTTTTGCTGAAATTTGTGAAAACTATACACCAAAATATAGAGAAGCGTGTCCCTTAACATATCTGAAAGTTTAAAATAAAAATATCCAGCTATTAATTTTTTAACGCCCAAACTATTTAAAAACTTTACGTAATTTCGTTAGAGTTTTTGGAAGATGAAAACTACTGTACGGATTTAAGTAAAATAAATAAGAAATGTCTTTAACTAATGATATTGAGCCATTATAAAGCCAACTTAACAATTATTACTTTCCATTTTTAATTAACCCTGTTAAAACACATTCAGTTTGATCGAGTAGATACATAAATTGCATACTTTAATTCTAATTGGTAATTCCTAATTCTATGTCTTCGTTTTCACATGCAACTAATAGGCATTTTGAATTTTCAAATCAGTCCGCTTCTTCTTTTAAATGTAAGTGTCTTGTGCAAGACTATCATTTGCAAAACCCCAATGACCGGAATATTTAAAGTTCTTCCAAGAAAGGGGAAAATTAACTAAAGTCTACTCTATGACAAACATAAATTTATTTTAACAATATTTACAGAAATAATTTACAATGAATAAATTTATGGGTTACAAAAATATTGAATAAATAAATATGCTGTACAAAAGTGCTATGATGCATTATCAAGCAATTGTTTGCATTAAGTTTGTGTTGGTAATATGTAGTTCTGGTTTTATTCTAAAGTAGTTTCTGTGTTCTACATATTTTCATATACTTGAGCTTCGTATTCTGTAATAAATAACATATAACACAATATAATATTACTATTAACGACACCTATGCTGCAAATGACAAATTGATTAAACACATATCACGCCAAATATGGGGTACATGGTACAAGAATGATATATTGTGCTTAATGAAATAATAGCTAATGAACGTGTTTAGTCCAATCTATGATTCGTTGATTCTTTTTCATGCTTCTCATTATTCGTAAATTTTATTAAAATGTCATAAAGTATAATTTACTTTGTACTTACAATTGTCTAATAGACCGCCTCCAAGAAGACCTAATCCTCCACCAAGTCCCCATCCAAGACCAAGTCCACCAAGTCCTAAACCGAGACCCAGTCCTCCCATGTCTGGTATTGCATTACCAATATTGTCTAATATTCTTTCTCTTCTCCTGTCGATTCTATCATTAACGCGGTCTCGAACACGATCCATTTGATCATTGATAATGCCTAATAATCCTAATCCCAATCCCATGCCATCTCCACCATCAAGACCAAGAAATCGCTTTGTTCTGGAAAGAGGTTGTGGATTTGTTGCTGGTATATCATTAAAAGGTAAAAGCCCTTGAACGTTGTTCACTGTGATTGCTCTCTTCATACGATTTTGAAATGCTTGATTCAAACCATCGACCGAATTAGCTTGAGTTAACCCAGGTTCTACAGCTCTTCTTCGTCGACCTGGGATCTCTACTTCAACTTCTGGCATTTTTACCTCTCTTTCATTTAGAACAGCATTTACACTGGCAAATAACATCGTCAGTATCTGAAGTATATATACGTATCATAAAAAAAACTGCCATTAACCTATTCATATGTTATTTGAATGTACCGGTGAGTTTAAAGATGCCCTTTAGTGTCGGTTACCGCATAATATACATCGACCTGGTTTTAATTCCAGTCGTAAACAAATTTGCTCAGGTTTTTGTCTCTCCATGACTATGCAAAATGAATAAATATTTTCCACATCGTGGTATAAGAAAAAAATCGAACAGAAAGACCTCAAGTGGAGTTTTTGAACTCCAAAATCTTAAACGGCTCTTCAGACTTTCTGTCTTACAGGTTAAGGAATTTAGATCCTTCTGTTGATAATTTCATCTTTAATGATCTTTGAAATGAGGTAAATGAAAATAGAATGCTTACCCTTTGTCTCGTATACAATCCACACAACGAGAAGATAATATGCTGGTTGAAACGACATGCGAGGTGAAACGAATGATTTCGATATCGAATGAAATACAACAGAAGGATCTAAATCTCTCCGTACCATTTTGTTTCAACTGATAAGATGTTGAAATGCCGAAAGATCGTAAAGGTAGATCGAAGTAGTCATAAAGATGTCGAAAGATCGTAAAGGTAGATCGAAGTAGTCATAAAGACCATTATATAACTGGTCAATCGTTTATCATATATGATACAAAAATGAACAATTTTAAATTTTAGTTTATACATGTATTAGTGATAATTCTCACCAAAATAAAATGAAGCAAAACTTCCAACGTGCTTGCCAATATTGGCTTGCTATTCAAATGTACTTCACTCTACAATTGATATACTGAGAACTATTTTAACAGCAAAAAATTATTTATGAACGTTGAAGTACTAAAAATATAACTTACTGCTAAAGGTAACATGATTGTGGCCCCAGATACGTCAGTGATCCTAAAACAACTGTGTAAATCGAGTTATGATATTTTGAATATTGATCTGATATTTTATATACTATTCAATTGTGATCATGTGAAGGTCATATGTACCCTTATATTTCCTGTAAAGATAGGACATATTTCTTTTCCCCAATAAAAGTTGATGTTTCGTTTTATTGACCGCATAAGTAAAGATATTATATGTGAAAAAGAGCTTTCTTATGTGGCCTAACTGTCACGTAGCTATGGTTCACGTGAAGATTGGGTAAGTAAAGCATGTTCTGGCCGATGTTAATAACCTCCAAAATAAAAAAAAATTGACAAACATTTCCTACCATGATGATGTTAGTGAAAATGCAATATTGTTTCTTGATTTTAAAATTTATTTGTTGAGGGTGAAATATTTTAGATAGAAAAAACTTGAAAAATATTTCGTTAAATAACTAGAATACATAATATGTATATAGATAAAATAAGTGTAAAATATCATTCTTAGTTGAAAATGATAATAAGAATGTTTCGATTCAAATGAATATTCTTTATCAGTACTCTGAAAATGACAAATATCATTCTGCAAGTTAGTGAAAGAAGCAGTTTTATGTATGTATATAGAACTTGAATCATGTTGTTACTCCGAGGTTTGTTTAAATATTTCTATATCGCATTACAATTCATTGAGCACTATTTAAACAGTGACATATTTTATTATTGGAATAACTTGTTAATATATGTATAAATGTTATACTTATAATAACTTGTTAATGTATGTATAAATGTTACACTTATAATAACTCGTTAATCTATGTATAAATATTACATTTATAATAACTTGTTAATGCATGTATAAATATTATACTTATAATAACTTGTTAATGTATGTATAAATATTATACTTATAATAACTTGTTAATGTATGTATAAATGTTACACTTATAATAACTTGTTAATGTATGTATAAATATTAAACTTATAATGCCTTGTTAATGTATGTATAAATATTACACTTATAATAACTTGTTAATGTATGTATAAATGTTACACTTATAATAACTTGTTAATGTATGTATAAATATTACACTTATAATAACTTGTTAATGTATGTATACATATTATACTTATAATACCTTGTTAATGTATGTATAAATATTATACTTATAATAACTTGTTAATGTATGTATAAATGTTACACTTATAATAACTTGTTAATGTATGTATAAATATTATACTTATAATAACTTGTTAATGTATGTATAAATATTATACTTATAATAACTTGTTACTGTATGTATAAATATTATACTTATAATAACATGTTAATGTATGTATAAATATTATACTTATAATAACTTGTTATTGTATGTATAAATATTATATTTATAATAACTTGTTAATGTATGTATAAATATTATATTTATAATAACTTGTTAATGTATGTATAAATATTATACTTATAATAACTTGTTAATGTATGTATAAATATTATACTTATAATAACTTGTTAATGTATGTATAAATATTATATTTATAATAACTTGTTAATGTATGTATAAATATTATACTTATAATAACTTGTTAATGTATGTATAAATATTATACTTATAATGCCTTGTTAATGTATATATAAATATTATACTTATAATAACTTGTTAATGTATGTATAAATATTATATTTATAATAACTTGTTAATGTATGTATAAATATTATACTTATAATAACTTGTTAATGTATGTATAAATGTTACACTTATAATAACTTATTAATGTATGTATAAATATTATACTTATAATAACTTGTTAATGTATGTATAAATATTATACTTATAATAACTTGTTAATGTATGTATAAATATTATACTTATAATAACTTGTTAATGTATGTATAAATATTATATTTATAATAACTTGTTAATGTATGTATAAATATTATATTTATAATAACTTGTTAATGTATGTATAAATATTATACTTATAATAACTTGTTAATGTATGTATAAATATTATATTTATAATAACTTATTAATGTATGTATAAATGCTACAGTTAACATAACCATAAGTACAAATGTAACAGTCAAAGCATCTATATACGATTGTAGGTATAGTTGTTATGGATACATAATTGTTATGTATAAAAGATTCAGATGAAGTATTTGGAATTACAGGGGAAAACATTCTCAGAAGCGTAAACGTCAGAGTTAAAATAGCGAATTAAGTGTAAATATATATTTCTATCTATCTATTGCCTATTAATCTATATATTAGACAAAATAATCAATTTTAAGTGTAAATTTTATTTTAGTCTATAAGAAACTTAAAAAATAAAATATCTAGAAATCACTAATTTTAAGCGTAATGTAAAAGTAAAAAGGCTCTCTTTATGTGTAAATGGTAAGAGTTAAAAAAAGCATATAATCAATGTTAGTAATTATTTCAAAATATAATCCGTAGAAGAGTAAATGTTATAGGTAAAATAATTAATTTTTCTTAAAAGTAAAGGCTAAGAGCAATCATATACATGTATTCCTTTTAAAATAGATTAAAACATTTGCTTTCACGGCAGTTTTGTTTGTTTAAGGTTTACTTAACAGCATAACAAGTACATTAATAATGGATTCAAAAAATGAAACTAAATAACTATAAAAATGAAACGGAAATATGATTATGAAAATCTATTTGTGTGTGTTCAAACACGGGTATCACGACCTTTGCATCATCTGTCCTGACATGTCGCCCTCTAGACAAAACGACATTACTAATATCCGGGCTTTTTTAGTCGTCTCTAACAGATCTTAATGGATTGATGGAAAAAAAGTATGATTATTAAAAAATTATTATCTACAAAAGTAGCTTTATTTTACACATTTTCCTGATGGTTCTACTGGTCTTAGGATCTAAATGGATATGTAAGCATAACATGGGTTTCTTCAGTTTATAGAGATGTTTTATTGCATGTTATTTTTGAAAGGGAATCAATGTACATACGTTCCTAATTGATAAATGCCGGATGGCCACGTCATCAATGTTCAAATATGTGAATTTCTTTGGTTAAAAAGTTTCCTTTTTGTGGTATTGTTAAATTGAGTCTGGCCACACCATTAAAACCACGCCCTGTCCTCCAATCGTAAAATATGACTCTCACGTATCAAATTAGTAATGAGAAGGTGAACAATGAAGAAATAAGACATAAGGTAAGATACTTCGAATAAACTCAGATAAATTATGTTATGTGCTAGAAATAGTTTTATTTTTTTATTTTAGGAGAACTATGTTTAAAAAGGATAGTCTCTTAGAAAAGACATAAAATTTAAAGTCTCTTGAAAACTTGATCAACAAGTTATATATTCATCAGTTGGACTTATCAGGTGCCATGACTATAGAATAGAATCTCTATATACGACGATATATCCATTAAACTAAATAATTATTGAAAAACATGCTTCTAAGCATGTTTCAAATTTACTTGTTGAATGGATAATTATTTAGTTTTATCGATTTATTGGATTATAGAGGGATTTTGTCTTATAGTTTTGACACAAGGCAACTCTACAGATAAACAAAGACTCATTTCAACCAAGTTTAAGAATTTCATTTTTTGGTCAACCTAAGAGGTATTATACCTTAATTGTTCCATCTCCAGTGTACTAATTTCACACTGTTTTTTACATGAAATATATATTATTTATGTAATGAAACCCGTCCAAACAGGAAGGTTGCCTATGTAGATAGAAAGTGATTCAGCGGGGTAATGACGTGTTCTGAATGTTCGGGCGAATCTTGGCATTATAAGCAATTTATTTAAATATTTCAATTTTCAAACTGACACGTACGCAAGTCTGGATGTTTGGGTTCATACGTTGATGAATATCCGCTAACTACCTAATCAGCCAGAAAGAACTAGAAAACGTTCATACTATGGAGGACAATCAGTTGCGTTTGGGTTTCTGGATGCTCTATTGTGATATTAGTATTCAACATAAAAGAATTAACGTCTATCTACAGCTTAATTTGATATAGTAATATGCATTCGTTGAAGGGGGCTATGAAATGAAAAATGAGACACAATTTTTCTTATCAGATTTTCACAAAAACGTACTTTACCCATACATCTTATAAAGTATACAATTTTTCGTTGGAAACATTTAATATAATATTATATAAATGCAAGACAAAGTCATATACCTAATCCAAAGAAAATGGTGAGAACATCGAATAAGAGCGAATTGTTTTCTACGTGACCAAAACCAAAATGTCTAACACTTTGTCTATTTTCCGCTTAAAACACCGAGGTATCCAATGGCCGTATATCCTACATTCTGCCCGTTAGCGTCAACTCCTTGTCTGTATCCGTAACCCAGAGCTTCTGCAATATAACCAGTGCCAAATGTTCTCCCTGCTACACCATAAGCATATTCAGTATCGCCTGGATAGAATATACCATTATTAAGCGGGTAATTGTCTATATTGGCAGCACTGCTTCCAGAACCCATATTGCTACCGGAACTTGATGTACCACTTAAATTAACATAAGCCCTGTTACTGGAAGAGGAAGAACCGCTACCTTGGTAACCACTCTGTGTCTGACTTCCACTGTTCTGTCTAGAATAAGGATTTGTATTTGCAGTACTGGCCTGATTACCGTACCCTGTATTAGCAGGACTGTACCCTGTATTACCAGAACTGTACCCTGTATTAGCAGAACTGTACCCTGTATTACCAAAACTGGCCTGATTACCGTACCCAGTATTACTAGAAGCTTGATTTGCATACCGTGTATTGGTACCACTTGATTGATATCCAGTATTACCAGAGTTGGTGCTTGCTCGATTCATATTAGATAGACTTCTACCACTGTAAGTCTGTCGTTTATTTCTAACAGTAAAATCATCTACTGCAACAACACATACACCGATACTTAATCCAATACATACCACTGACACAATGGGAAGCTGCAAAAACAATAAATAGGATTTATCAATAATCAGACCAGTGGGCAGGTATGTCAGTGGTTAGAAAAACTGTAAATAATATTGTCGTTATGGTTGACCAAACAATCAAATACTAAAGCTGGTAAAACATGCAATGTTTTCAGAAAAATTAATATAAATAGACACGAATTATGTTGCAAAGCTTATGAGCGAAAGAAAATACGTTACCTTTTTAATATCCATTTTCTTGAACAGTTTGGATAAGCGAACTAGAACGGAAAGGAAGTAACATGTTCATGTTATAAGTTTTTATATTCATATCTATCCATATTAGATGTTCTAATTACGGATAACAATATTATTTTTAAATGTTTCCATATATGAATATACTATTTTAGTTTCTATTTAATCAACGTACACAACTCACACGAATTTGTATTTTAAACCAAACTCATGCTGCTTTTTTAACGCACATGTCTACGAAGAAAGGTTAATTTCTTGTGGATTAGCGTGAGATAAATAAATTTCATAATGGGTATTTCCAAATATTTGACAGTAAAATTCTTTAATTTCAAAATGGATTCAGTTACGAGTTTCGAATCACTGTTTTGGATGATGTCAAAGGCAGAGAGAGTCGGGTTTATCTCCCAATTAACTGCATTACAACATAATACATATATCTACATGGCTGGAAATTATAGTATTGTAAGAAAGAGTTAAATGCTGACAATATTTTTTACATGAAAACGGAATAGCTGTGTCCGATTTCATTCACAACTTCATTGCAGGTGGTATCCAAACTAAACTTGTGATGTTGAATTTATATGCCAAGGGAGGTAAACCTATGAAAAATCATGAAAACCAGTGTCCAAAAGAAATACCACTAAATGTTTTTCTGGACTAGAAAAGAAACAAAATCAAATAATTGTAACAATAAATGTTGTATTGTAAAAATATCAGTCGGTCTCAAAAGTGTTCGATAGGGGACAATCAGGGATGATGATGACAAAATTTATGTTGCTACATTGCAAAATTTTTTAAATGTTGAATTGAAAAAAGGAAATAATTGGAAACAAATAAAGTTTGGAACTGAGCAAATTCCAGACACTGAATTATTGCGTTTAACAATTTGATATGATGGTATAGATATCTTCCGCACATTACCTTTTTATCTCATGTTGTTCACATTCTCATTCGAGCTTTAAACATTTCAAAACACATGTATATATTTATATGTTTATTTCGTACGTCACAAAGCATAACAAAACAACACCTCTCCTTAACTGGAGATAGTACGTGCCTGATAAACATAAATATTACTGTAAATACATAGATAATCAAGCTACATTATACAATAACGCCAATGCTACAATCATGGACAATGCTGTTGATAAATTATGTAAATACCACAAATGTGCTGAATGATATTTTATCTTTACAATTACACTAACTCTTCTTAGTTAACTTCAACATAAACTATAACATATAATAAAACCATAATTGACATATACACATTTACATTCGTTGCTGGTTACCGGCAGCTGCAGGATCCTGATATCCGCCACCCATACCACCATATCCACCACCCATACCACCAAAGTTACCACCTCCTCCATACCCCATACCACTAAAGCCACCTGCGTTCATTCCTCCATATCCTCCACCCATTCCACCTCCATTCATTCCATATCCACCAAATCCTCCCCCGCCCATTCCGCCAAAGTTACCACCATATCCTCCATATCCCTGACGTTTATATCGACGGTTCACATCATCATCTGCAAGTGTAGTTGTCACAAATACAACCAATAATGTAACCTAAAACAGTAATCGTATATTCGATGTAATTCTGATTAATGCGAATATCAAATATGCATGCGAATATCAAATCAATTGCTGCCAAAAAGCGAGTAGGACGCATGCTCGCTAACCTGGGTGTCCATGGCGCATGGGTCGAGATAATACCTTCGACTTGTTCATCCCGCATTCCACCACCTATTGTGCAGTTTGAAGGAGTATACATGATATAAGTCGAAGTCACTAAAGAGAATCGAAAAAGATTATGCTAATCCCATTACTAATCCAATATACATAATGTTGCAAGTCTGCATTAGCCGAGATAAAAAAAAGTATGATGTACAACTCCACGTAATATATCATTGCCACATTTTTTTTTGATAAAACATACAAGATAATTTGACATAATAATGATAATATATTAGTACTTACCATAAACAGCTTCATGGTTTTTAACATGATTGTTTCTGCAATTTCAAGACTTTTTAAAATAAAAATAAGCTAGAAATAGGTTACCAAACTTTTTATATGATTCCAAATATATATGTTCTAGAAAGTTTCATGGTATTTTTAAATTTTGTTTCCTGAAGCGGCATATAGAGCTATTTTGTCACGATCCTATAGTATTCCTGTCCACAAACCCCCTTCTAAATATATATTTTGAAACCTTATTTACTCCGTAAACGTGCTCAACATCTCTATGCATGTTGCGTCTTGGAACATAAATAAAATAGAGAAGCTGTGTTCCGAGGTCATGTGAATAAATCCTTCATATTGGTTGTTGTTTCAAGTGAAAAAAAATAGTTATTTTGCTAATAGGAGAAAATGTTAAGATGTAAAATGAAATAAGACTAATATAAATTATTTTACAAAATCAGGTAACGTTGTATTAATGTGTATTAACAAGTATAAGGCTTATTGAAACGAGGTGTGTGAGAAAAACTCTAGGACTAGTGTGACAAAATATTTATTTCAAATCTAAACTAAGAACTACAATTTTCCCCGATACGCACTTTTCCATCCTTCTCTGCCATGATTGCATACACACCTGAAGGACTTTTCTATGACTCTCCACAATTACGGATTCCCTTCTTTGATTCGGCCCTTGAGCTTTTGGAAGGGGAAAAATTCACACGGAGCCGAGTAGATGTGTAGCTCCAGTACCATTCTTCTCGGCTAGGAAATGTAGCATGCTCATGGCATTTAGATCAGGTACATTGTCATGTTAAGGCAGCAACGAGTTTCCCTGCCACAACTCTCGCCCCATCCCTTTTACTTATCGAAGCAAAAACCGATATCACTTTATGGGGATTAATTCCAAGAGGAAATCGTATCCTTTAGTTTGGATTCGAAATAAATCTTTTGTGACACCAGTTATGTAAACTTTTGACATATAAGCCATTTTTGCGAAGTAGGAACAGCATCAGTTAAATCTCAAAATAAATTTGGCAATAAAGCATCAATCAAGTCAATAGGCATTCATGTTGAACGATAATATATCTCAGGATTCCTCATCAATATTTATTCTAGTGATATAATCTGCTGATGTATATAAATTTTGAGCTACAGTGTTGAAACTTAAACTATCTGGCAATCTTGCAGAATTACAGAAACGGTTAGTTTTCAGATTTTAAGTTGGGATCGGTTGGTATCTGTATAAGAATTCAGAAAGGTTCAATAATTTCGATATCTATAAACTTGTATTAAGATCGTAACCTTGATGCATGTTTGACTAATAACCAACCCTGTTATTTCGATACTAGCTGAAATTGCGAAAATGTGAAGGGTGAAGCTGTTGTATTTTGGACCTTTCGAAACACACAGAAATATATCAGATTAACTGTTAATGACTCTTGTTAAAGACTTTGATTGTGAGAGAAGTTCACATTAATCAGTAGTTAGTAAGTTGCGGATGGTGGCAACTCAATTGTTGAATCTTTTACATTTTTGAAACAGAAATCATTAAGTTAGCAATTCTTTAGTTCAAATGCATATGATTTTTGCCACATTCGATATTGACATTTTCAAACCGCACGGGAAATGACGTAGCGTTGGTTGTTATGTTCCCTTTTCCAGTTAGGAAAGAATTAAAGTTTGTAACATTGTTTGTCCATAATTCAGAGATCTTGATCGCTTGATAATTACTATGATATGTCCACATGTAGAGAAAATATAGATTGCTGCAAGTCCTTTCACATGGTGTTGCTTCTGTTTACATAGTATACATATCTCTATTATTTTATAAAATAGTTTATTTAAATACATTATTCGTTACATACTTTAATACAAACAATATAATAATAATGTCATAATGAGCCAGTATTAATAAAAATCAAGTTATAGAAAAAAAGTCTCTTTCCTTTACATTAGCGTCCATATCCATAAGTAGCGGGATCATAGGAGTTTCCAGCAGCGTAGCCGGCTTGTTGATTACCACTGTACGCAGGTTGCTGATTTGCACCATAAGCTTGCTGTCGATAGCCAGCAGCTTGTTGACCGTATGCCTGATTTCCTGTGGAATACGATGGCTGTTGTCCGTATCCACTACCTTGCTGAGCACCATAAGCTTGTTGGGCGCCGTATTGCTGTTGGTAAGCACCAGCGGCGTTGTTGGGGTCATATGTATTACCTGCGGAAGCAGCATATGCATTTGGATCGTATTGTGTATTACCATATGTCTGACGTTTTTCCCGAATGTTGGTTTTCAAGGTACTGGCATTTGTAACAGTCAGTATTACACTTACGATTAATACCTGATAGTAAAGAAAATGTATTATACTGGAAGCAAAATGGTCGAATCAACATTTTAACAATAACATTGCAATGAGGTTAAATTTAAAGATACGTGGACAGTGATTTACTGGTGAAGACAATCTTGCTATTTAACATTTTCTTCCATACGAAATGACTTACATGTCTGTATTTGATGAGAGGTACATTCAAATAACCAATCATCTGTAGCAAGTCACACTTCAAAACAAAATAGTTGCTTCTTTTGTTTTCTAGTGCGCTGCCAAATTATTTTATTTTTACAAGTAATGACTATACTGTTAACTTACCATCAGATATTCCATTTTGTGTTGGGAATGTGTAATCTGTCGTGTGATAATAGTATTAAATTTTACCTTCCGCTGTTCAGATTGGCAAATAGCCTTATATACCCAACCACTCAGCATGTCCTGATGTGTATTTTAGTCAATGTTATTGTCCTGTATTCATTTATAGTCAAATGTGGGTAATGGTTTCTTTTAAAAATATAGCAAGTGTGCATTGTATTGGCTAATATTAAGATATTAAACTAATTTCGTTCTGCTATTACTTTTTTTTAATTACATTGTAATGTGAAGTGTGTGATAAGGCACCTTTAATAATATGATTTATATTGGTGGTTTTCAACCTGATTTTGTATGTGTCCCCAAATCGTATCAGCATGAAAACGATGTTTCAAAATATCATGTGTAACTTGGATTGGATACCAGGTACGGTCCGGGTTGTATGGAGTAAATATGAGATGTTGTATATATATTGTAGTTGGATAGTTTTTTTCATAGCCCGTGACAATGTCAAATTTCCCCATATGTCCTTCATTGCATGGATTATGACTCTCTCTTTAGTTACATCACTGTCTTTTGTGAGAAGAGGGTTAAGGTAACAGAGAAAGATATCAGTTTTATTCATTTATTACGTAATACAATTTCTTCAACTTATTTCCTTAATCTAAACTGAGAACCAACAGTTCTATTAAACATTTAAAGTCATCAAGCAAATACAAGTCAATTACTTTAGAATAATAGGATAGACGACACTATGATGCACATTATTTTGCCATTATTCGGTAGAGATATTATTTTCAACTGTCATATTATAACAAAACATAAAATTTTAATTTGCCTCGTTTTGGGAGAAACCTTCATAAACGTCTGCATAAACATCAGCAGCTGCCTGAGCTGCGGCCGACTTCGCAGCTTCTTCGGCGGCTTGTTCAGCGGCTTCCTCGATTTCCTTTTCTAACTTTTCAGCCTCATGGGCAGCCTTTTCTGCTTCTTTCTGAGCCTCTTCGTAGTTCTTTTGTGCCTCTTCTGCAAGTTTTTCCAGATCAATATCAATTGGAATGTCAAGATCATTATCACCAGAAATGTATTCTATACCAGCACTGTACCCAGCACCAAATCCAGTTCCAAATGCTGATTGATATGTTTCAGCATCTATATTGTTCACAGGATCGGTAACAACATTTGCATCTGATTGTACATTATTGTTATCTACATAATTTTCATTTTGTGAAGCACTATCACTCGCCCCGTTTTGGCCATAACTGTTATCAACATAATTCCCATTTTGTGGAGCACTTCCACTCGCCCCGTTTTGTCCATAACTGTTATCTACATAATTCCCATTTTGTGGAGCACTTCCACTCGCCCCGTTTTGTCCATAATTACCGTTTGCACCATTATACCCACTATTGTACCCTGAAGGATAGCTTCCCTGATACCCCGAGTTTCCTGGCGATTGACCGTAAGTACCACTGTAACCACTATTTCCATATCCATTGCCATAAGCATTACTTGTTGATCCACCACTGCTACCGTATCCAGAGCCATACCCACCATATCCAGCTGTGTTACCACCAGTATAACCGTTACTATTACCACTGGAGTAAGTTCCACCAGTATTTGCTATATAACCAGATGATTGCCTTTTAACCCGAATATGATTATTCCATTGTCGTAAAGCTGCAGCAGGCACTAGTTGATGAAGAGACACAAATAGGAAAATCTGCAAATAAAACAAAAGATTGAGGAAAGTTACAATTTCATTAAATTGGTCCAAGTTTTTACCAATCTGGCGGTGTTTCAAACAAGGATAATATCTAGATTTTGAAAATGTAAATTTTAATCGATTTTAGTAATTGAACAATCAGATGACCTGAACATTTAACTCATTCCGAATGAAACAGGCCCCTGTATATTATGTTAACATACCGCAAGTAGTTCCTTCATGTTTCTGCTATACGAATACATATGAAATGATTTCACCATTGGCAACCAGTCTTATTATAACACCACATGATGCTCAAAGGTACCGAGTTAACAATTATCCATGATTTATTAAGAAAAGAGGATCACCAGGTGTGAATGTGAGTGGTGTCACACCCATTTTATTCTAATAACGAGCACTTAAAATAGAATAATTTAATATTTTTAAAACGTGTTTGGAATAGACTGCCAAATCATCTCCTAAAATAGAACCTATAGTGTGCTGAACTAACACGCAATTACCGCATATTTCATTTAAACTGAACTAGTTATATTCGATCAAATTTTTCCGTCTTGACAAAGATAAGTATTTGCTATACGCTGATAGTTTGCAAAGTCTTTCATGTTTGAACGAAGGAAGAACTAAATGAAGAAGAGAGTAATTTATTACACAAATTATTGCCTCTAATATTTTACCTTTCTGAGGTAACCATGAAAACGTGACTGAAGTGAGTTTGGACCTCAATAGACTTGTGTATCACCATTTACTGCAACTTAAAATGCATTACAACGTTAGAGATGTTTCAATTTGTAAATACTTCCATCGATTCGAAGAAACATTGTTCCAGACACAGAATGAATAGAAAGACCTAGCTCAAAACCTTGCGTGTTACACATGTAGGCCTATGTAAGCCGATTTAGTTAAGAAGCATTTGTAACAAATACGCGAAAAGGCACCATAAATCATATAATGTATTGCCCTAGCTCATGAGGCTATTTAGAAATATAATGAAATTTGGTTTTACGGTTCTACATTCCTGCTTCAAAGCAGGGTTATGAAGACAGATAACATAATTTAGAAGGCCAGGCTCTAATGACATGCGGGTGGTGATCAGACTACCCCACTGACCACATTCCCTAATGGCGATCCTCTTCCAATTGATGACAAAGACAAACCCTGCACCATCCTGGGATGTCGTGCCTTTTTCCATAAACTATTTAGATGACTTCCTTGAGTGGCATTTAGTAATGGTGATATTAACACGAACACAATTATATGGATAACAATTACTTTAATAAATAACTTGCGACGTTTCGACGATGATTCTTTCGTCTTTATCAAGCAATGATACAAAATAACAAGGCATTCAGAATATATAGTGTGAGGCAACAATGACAAGGATTAAAACAATAGGAATACATTAATCAATTATGAAGAAGTAATCACAAGGGTGTGTGATTAGAGAAAACATTAAAGGGATGTAGTAAATTACTTCTTGATTATAATGGTAGGGTGGTAGTGATTATAATCAAACAATGTGATGATAAATAAACATAAAAAATTGACTAGTAAAATACCGGTGACAATCTAAATACAAAATTTAGTGTGGGCTTATTTAATTAAAGGGTCATAGGCATGTGATAAATAAACACCTGTATCTCTGTTGAGTTGCGGTTGGTATCTCCTTATGTGTATGGCTTCGGTCAGTTGTCTCGTTTTCTTGTTGGTTTGGTGTTTAGTAAGGGCTTCGATATGGCCAATTTTGTGTCGTCGGTTGTAATACTCCGAAAGTCACCAAACCCCCTTCACTAACAACTCGTATCACCATCCCATTTCTTGGCAAAGTATCCTATCAAATAAGAAGACTGATCAAACAAACCGTAGGAATAGAAACAACCTTTTCTTCTGGACCAACAATCAAGGACATCCTTCATGCAAATGGAAAACTAGCACACACAATACCTCTGGCACCAAAAGGGTGTGTCTACAAAATAACGTGCTCCTGCAATGAAGAATATATTGGAGAAACAAGACGCCCTCTCAATCTCAGAACGCAAGAACACCTATCCCTAGCACCTACCCAAACATCCGCAGTTTCTGAACACATCAAAAACAACCGACGACACAAAATTGGCAATATCGAAGCCCTTACTAAACATCAAACCAACAAGAAAAGGAGACAACTGACCGAAGCCATTCACATAAGGAGATACCAACCGCAACTCAACAGAGATACAGGTGTTTATTTATCACATGCCTATGACCCTTTAATTAAATAAGCCCACACTAAATTTTGTATTTAGATTGTCACCGGTATTTTACTAGTCAATTTTTTATGTTTATTTATCATCACATTGTTTGATTATAATCACTACCACCCTACCATTATAATCAAGAAGTAATTTACTACATCCCTTTAATGTTTTCTCTAATCACACACCCTTGTGATTACTTCTTCATAAATGATTAATGTATTCCTATTGTTTTAATCCTTGTCATTGTTGCCTCACACTATATATTCTGAATGCCTTGTTATTTTGTATCATTGCTTGATAAAGACGAAAGAATCATCGTCGAACCGTCGCAAGTTATTTATTAAAGTAATTGCTATCCATATAATTGTGTTCGTGTTATTTAGATGACCATGCAAATACTAGAGGTGCGTGTTGCGGGGAATATCTAAGATGATTGCCCGAAATAAACAGTTGATAGATATGATGCACAGCCAGATTGGTACAGTCATTCCCCTGTACAACTTAATGACAATTGATTTACCTGCATTGGACAATCTATAGTGGACCAAGAGGGTGAAAGCTACGACGCCATCCGTACAAGACCTGCACGACTTTCACAGTCTTGCGCAAGCATTAAAGAGAATTCTTAGGACACCAACTTCGGCTCTTGATTTAAATCATGTTATTAACCCTGGGGCCTTTTTCTCGAAAACTTAAATAGATAAGATTAATCTGATTGGATAATGAAACTAACTTTAAAACGATTTTATTGATTGACCAATCAGATGACAGCAACGATTAAATCATATTCAGTTCAAGAATAAGCCCCCAACAAATATCAACGTGTTATTGTCCTGCTCATGCTCATCTCTGCTGTAGGTGAAACCAGGAAGGCCTTCTCTTTCTTGCAGCTACCTTCCTGCTTCATCGTTTACTCAGGGCAATAGCTTGTGCTCCCATTTCTGTATCGTCTGTTTTTGTAAAATGGATAGAACAGCTACTAAATATGTATTAAACCGAAAAGTTTTGCTTTAATCCGAAAACTTTCAATAAGGATCTCCTTAACAAGGGGAGGAACATCAATTAAGACTTATCTCCCTTTTCATAATTTGTTATTTACAAACGACATCAGAAGGTGTTATTTGTTCCAAGGGACGCAAATGTCGCTTAAAGAATCATAAGCGTGGTCGTTTGTCCGGATTTCGATATGGCATCTTTAATCCGTTTTTATACCACATGGAAACCCCGATGAATTAAATCATTTCTGATAACCGTTCCTTTATTTCATTTTTGCGCAATATATTGTTTATCTTTTTCTTTCCAACTACTATCCACATACTAACTAGCTCCAAATACAGTTGCAGACATATTTGCGTGCTTTCAACGGTATTTAAAGATGGATTTTCTTATTTTTTAGTGTCGAATTAGGCAAACTTTTTGATTAATAGGCGTTTCTAATGTGTTATAATGTATTATTAATCATATCAATATGTTCTTTTTGCATATAATTAAGAGTTTTTACCAATCATAAATGTCCATACAGTCTGGATAAAAAGACTTTTTGATCTTTCTTGATCGGTCACTCATTTGAATTCTGCTGTTAATTCTCTTCTAATTTAGCTAATTATGAATTAATAATGGACATGTGAGACAAACTGGAATGAGTCATTAGAACACCTGTGCTTTCTATTTATATAAGTATTAGCATTTTCATTTTTATAAATGAAAATAAGGGAACCCATCTTTAACCAATGGAAAATCGTAAAATGAATGTCATAAATACATTTTTATTACATTTCTCACACAATGTGAAACATGTGAATTTTTATTTCTTTATAAAGCTTATCAACATGATTAATTAATTGTGTACAATACAGAAATGTGGATGAATGACATGAAATTGAAATGCTAAATAAGCCCTTTCACGGGAAAAATGCAAGGAAATTTAGAATATACACAATTTGTCAAGTAGATTGTTGTTATCAAATGTAGTGGAAATAAATAACAAAGACGATGTTCGTAAAATTTCAATATAAAAATATTTATATAATTCCATCGAAAGCACAATATGAAATAATAATCCATGAAAATTTCCACGACATTTTTTTTCAAGAACTTCTGAAATTAAATGTTTGTCATGTTGAAGTTTAAATAAGGAGACACAATACTTGTACAAAACATTAGCCAATATATGAAAATGCTGAATTTACATATTGCGATTTTTGTCTTTGTGATCGATTTGGAAAGTAGTATCTTTCATATTACCCATAATTACTAAGTACATAACCCTCTGGTAAATAATGTTCATACAGCCATCCATTTGGAGTGAAACCAAATCCATGGAACAGTTCCGATTCAACCGTAGGGTCGAAGGCTAAATGCTCCCACGCTAGTCGATGCATATAATCGTCCATTGCTGGATCAGGAGGTGGTGCAGGATCAGCAATCCAGCCCATTCTGTGTGCCCATTCATCGAATGCTGGATCTGGTGGTGGAGGAGCGAAGGGATCCATGCCAGGTGGTGGAGGTGCGAAAGGATCCATAGGAGGTGGTGGACCAAACGGATCCATTGGCGGTGGAGCTCCAATAGCAGGATCATGCATTTGATCCCACAATCTGTGGTAATACTCCATTAAAGATGGATTGTTTAGCACATTGTTACCATAGCCAGCATTTGCATACCCAATATTACCGTTACCATACCCAGTATTTGAATAACCATAGTTTCCGTACATTTGTCGTTTGATGCGATGGGCTTTGGCATCATTTGAAGCTAACGTTAATGCTGCCAGCCCAGTGAAAATCTAAAATTTAGAAGAAAAAAAACACTGTCAAATTTTAAAGTTGAAATATACATTGTAACAGGTATTAACATTGGTCATCGGAGGAATGAATGTGCGATGATACCCAAGTCATTATTTTACGTCAAACTTTCTGCAGCATGTGGGCTAATGAGGACGGACATGGGTGCAATGAGGAAAATTTTGCCAGAACAGTGGCACTAGTCTGCTCTTTTTCGATTTCCAACTGTCGGGGAATCTTTAACGTGCACATCAAGCCCCCAAGGGCCCCGTTTTACTGTCCCACCCGAACGTTCCCTTTTTCCTGCATCACTGACAGGGGGAAACCGTGTTGAAAAATCCGAAGATATTATCTTGGTCTATGCCGAGATTGAAAGTCATTATTGAAAGACGATTTGTACTGAGGTGTATCAGTTGTAACTGTCCTGTCACATAAACGTTAAGTCATTTATGCAAATAATACTTTGAAATGATCAAAAGTGGATGTGGGTCCCAAACACTTCACAAAGAAGTTCTTATACCAGCCTAGAAATTGGCATGTAGTCACATTCATTATTTAGTAGTTCTTAAATTGCAGATAAACTAGGTGAACGACAGATACTGCATTAAAATAAATACTTACAATAAGCGACCACATCCTCGTCATAAGAGCACCATCTAAAACTGGTCTGACATATCACAAAAAGTCGTAGAGATATTTTAGAAGATTTTAATATTAACCATTCTTTTATTTCAAAATAGTTTATTGTTAAATGTTTAGTATTTATGCGTTAAATCACGTAGACAACATCAAATATACTCAAAGGTTATTTTCAATACAATTAATGGCACGAGTTGACTTTACAGTTACAAATTACTCATGAAACCATTTCACAGCTGGGAATCTACCTAGAAGTTCGTTGAATAACCCCAATTCATCTATTTCCCCATGTAAATATAATGATTTCCTGTGTGACGCATTGTCACGTTATGTACATTGTTGTTTTTTCTCATATCATTTACCTCAAATTCACGTTGGAAGATAGTGTATAAAATGAAATAGAGTTTGTTTAAATGCTAATGGAGGCGATTATTATATTTTGTTGCCATTGTACCATTGAGCAAACCATAATTTTATTCATTTGTGCCGATGTACCGCTGGAAATCACCAATCGTCATTTAATTCAAAAGATCTAAAAGCATACAATTCACGAGAATTCGTTATCATGCACATATATCTTAAGGCCAACAATAAGGTGATAAAGTGGTAGAAATAGAATGGATTGGGGCATTATACTCTGATCTATCTTCCACTTCCTCATCTCTAACATGTGAACAGGTTTCTCAGTTCAGCTGATCTACTGTATTAATAATTCCGTAAAAACACGATTACTCTGCTGTTGGTCTCTGTAGCTTTATTGCGCTAAAGCTATTTTGATCCACAAGCTGGTTATAATTTTGCTGAAAATAACTTCTTTTGGATTATAAGAAGTGGTACACATGAACAAATCCAAAAATAACATTTATATTTTTGAATTAAAAATCTTGAAAAAAAATACTGCAAGTATATATTGAAGTCAAGAACTTAACCTTTCAGATGCAATTTCACAGATCCGACTAACTTTACAGAGCGTATTTTCAACCACATAATGTTAAGATTAACAATAGTAAGTGTAAAATATTTGAATTTTATCAGTCCAATTTTATTGGAATGCTGAGAATGACATATTAAAATACTTCTAACTAATAATGCTCAATTGTTTTTCCTTTCAGCTCGTGGTATGCTGTACAGCTATGGTACTAGCCGCAGATACTAAGCTCGGAAGGGCGAGAAGACAAGCTTATGATCCATATGCTCCCTACGATCCAAATGCATATTCAGCCGCTGCGCCGTACGATCCCAATGCATATGCAGCTGCTGCACCGTACGATCCAAATGCATACGGAGCTGCAGCACCTTATGACCCAAATGCATATTATGGTGGACTTGGAAGATAATGTGATTGTATTGATGTATTATACTTTAACAGTCATTTTTGAATAAATCTAAAAATAATGATGTATTTCTTAGTTAGTTGTTAGGTTTTTTTTAAAAGGGCAAATACATTAAGTCTTCTTCTGCGTGCCCAAGTTTTTCCAATAATCATTCCAAATTAAACCAATATACTTGCACAAGCAAAGTTCAAATGGTAATTAAGAATTTATGAATACCTATAATCTTTAAATTAAGACATATTGTTTTTGTAAGAAAAGTGCTTGCTAGGGTTAAGTTTCTTGACCATACATGAGGCGCTAAAAAAACCGAAAAAGTTGTAAGATAACGAATTTCCCAAATAAATGTTAGGAAGGTATTCTGCATGTTAATGAATATTAAAAATAAATGTGCTGCAGAATTTGCCAAACAAACGTTAGAGGCTATGTGGTATGAAAATAAATACTGCAAATAAACGTTTGAAATAAATTCTGAAGGTTAATGAATGTGGATGCAATGCTGTAGGTCAAAGAGTATACCAAATAAACGATTGAAGCTTTGCCGAATGATAATTACAATAAAAATTAACTTTACGAGCATTGCAATAGAATAATCAATATACAAAATAAACGTCAGAATCTATGATGTTCGATAATGAATAGTGAAACATTTAAAGCCTTGCTATATTATAACAGATATACCAAATAATCATTGAAAGCTATGCTGCAAAATAACGAATATACAAAATAAACAATAGCTGCTGTGCTGTGGGATTATGAATATGCTAAATAACAGCTGCACGGTCACTTTGAAGGAAAGTGACCATCTAGCAATTCAAGCCTCAGTCTTCACTATAATAAATATCAATTATAATAAAGTCTTAAACCGACCCCAGAGAGCTTTAAGCTAATCGCATTAAAACTGACCTTGTCCATCAGCAGAATCATCGAGCATACCGTTCCACTGCGTATTATAGCTAGACTCAAATTAAATAAAGTGTTTAGATTCAAGATTGGAGAACTCCTGTCCAGCGCTTTACTGCTTTGAAGACATCAATAGCTTGGAAAACCCAAAAATATGTACGAAGTTGACTTTATCAAATTTCAGATTGCAATGAGGATGCATCTTTAATTTGTACAAAAATTTAATTGTAGGACTTTTAAGAACAAAGGGCTATGATTTCCATCAAAATTGAAATTGTTCCAGAAAGTTGTTCATTATCATGATTCATTATTTATTGCTATCTAAACTCGAAATGTAAAGGTGTAAACTTATAATCATATTCAATTCCGTCTCCCCTATCGTCTTCGCTATTACTCTGCAACCAACTTTTTACGAAAACTGAAGAGAGTTGCCCAAAGATCTTTCTAGTCAATTAGTAAATTATACAAAGGAGACCGGCCCCAATCAGTAGGGGCCGCGGTGTTTCAGTGATTTATATATAAATACACAGAGGTTCTTCACGTTAAATGTAATCGAAAAAAAAAATAACCCAATGCCGTTTTCTGGGCAAAATTTAACCATTGCAAACATTGATGAACTTTCAAGTCTTCAGGTGCAGACAAATAGGTAGCAAAGCACCATTTCATTTACTATCGGGGCTCGGCTTTGGAGCCAACACTTTCGAACTTCTCCTCATTGTACATGTCGACTATGGTTGTCAACGCCAACGCCCGACACCCCACCCCCCACCCATTTTCACTTTACCAAAAAATGCACAGAAACGCCACTGGTCCAATGTCAGTAAGAGGACACCATTGAAGTCAATAATTTCTATGGGTCATAGGTTCGCGTTTGTTGAAACAATTCCTATTCCTAGTCGGTTTATGGATGAAGTCTTATTTAATATATGATTAACATGATTGTAGTAACAGTAGACATGCAATGCAAATTTATTTAAATTCACAATACAAACATCACAAGAACATTTGTTTTAGTATGACTAGGTACGGATTAGTATGGTGCCCGAATATTACCTCTGTCGAGTTTCTATACGTGACTTTTACCATTGGAAACTGGGGCGTTTTCTTACTCATCGATAAGGGGGTACCACCCGTTCTATTATTTCAAACCAGCCATATTACGAAAATAGAATCTACATGTATATGGAGCAGAAAAGAGACGTGTTCCAATTGAGGAGTGAATGGAGGATTTGCGTGAATTTTTTTTCCTTTCCGAAAAGATCGTCTATAAAAGACTTGTCTTTGATTCAAAAGGCCAGTTTTCAGAATTGTTTTCAGCCCGACAGAGTCTTAGTATCCAGAAAGATGAATTTAATATTCGTAAGTTTCAGTTTATTATATTTCATTATTCAGTCACCTATAAGGGTCTTCTTCAATTGGAATTTTGATATTTAAAGCTACCAAGTTGTTTTTGTTTCAGAATGGTCAAGGTATTCCATAACCAGTACCTATGATGTCAAAAAAAAAAAAGAATATTGCATTTAATTACAAACAATTACAATTACAAAGAATGGGTGCGTTGATATGATTGAATGTGTCTAATTTTGTAGGTAGTATCCGTATGTTTCATTGGTAGTACAGTATTATCAGCCCCGGCTTCCCAGTTGAGTCGACAAAAGAGACAGTATGGAAACCAATATCAAGAAGAAATGCAAAACGCATACAGGGAGGCTGAACAGCGATATGAAGAAGAACAACAAAATGCATACATAGCTGCAGAGGAACAATATGAACAGCAGGTTCAGGACGAGTACCAACGAGAAGTAGATGAATATAACCAACAGCAACAAGCTGCCCAGGATGCCTATGTTCAACAAGAGGAAGAAATGGCAAGAGAAGCAGCAGAAAGATATTATGGCGGTGGTTATCGTTATGGTCGTAGTACAAGACAGAAACGAAGTGTTCCTCAAAATCAGATGTATACAGCTTTACCGGTAGCAGTTTCTTCCCAGCATTATCCACAGACTTATCCTGTTAACATGGCAGCCCGTCAATATCCATCTACAGTAGCTAGACCCGACACCTATGTAGTTAATTCTGGTGCCGTAGCTCACCCATTAGTGCAGGCACCACAGGCATACCATGTTGTGCCTCCACAGGCTTATTCAGTTGTTCAGACACAACAAACTTATCCGGTTTCATCTCCACAGCCGTATCCAGTTTCCCAACAGCTGCCGACCTATTCGACAGTACAACCTCAAAAAACATATCCAACCGTCAAACAGTATTCTTGTTTAGATTTTTTGGACATGATTTTCCGACTACTCCTTCAAGATCGAGTTGATGCCTTAGGGACTCAGTTACTGGCAGCTACTGTCGAATATAATGACTATTATGACTATGATGACGATTACCAATTCGACGATGGAATTGCTGATTTTAATTGGGACACAACAGATCAACCCACCACTGTAGAAACATCAACAACCGTCACTAACTCAGAAACAGTATCGACTGCTTGATTAGTTTAAATATATTTGCTGAAATGTACCCTGTTTCAAATTCAAACAAATTGGCTTGCATAACTAAAGATATAGAGTAGACTGTTCGTGTTTTTATTTTTAGCTCTTTCTGGATTATTCACAAATAACTTTGCTTATCTATTCATTAGATGTCCTTCCCAGCTGTAAAGTCTCCAAGAAACACACATTATAGCTACATGTCTTTGTTTATGTCATGATGACTCAACAATCCAAAATAGAGAATACTTTCTGAACTTTTAAAACATTGGGTTGAAATGTTATATTATATTTGTATCATTTATTTGCTTTTGTGTGCTATATGTATTTTTGAAAATAAAGGGAGGGAATAACATTTGTGTTATCTTGAGTTATCACAGGTTACAATTTGTACTTGTTAATACGAGCAGATATGTTACCTTTATAATTAAGTTTTCGTCATTTAGCTTTGAATTGACCAATGCCAGTACTAAGAACAAATGGAAAATTATGGCGATTCTTGGTGTGTGAATGACCTTTGCAGCCGAGAATATCCAAATGCGTAAATTGTAAAATCTTCTATTTCCTGTGAAGTGCATTGGCTCTGTTTTAAGAATACAAAAAGTTAAGGGGTATTACGATGGTCAATTGTACCAACATGCCAACATATATTAACTGTACGAATTTTTACTCTTATCGGAGCATATATTCCCTGAATTCGACCTGAATTGCTGTCGTTATTTTCCATAACCCAATTTATTTAAATCCATGGGCGGACGAGCTTTTGATACCAGTTATAAGACACATGGAGCAAGGTTTAAGTTAAACAAATGTAAAAAGTTTGATGACTCTTTGATGCCTTTTAAAGTTTATTAATATTGCTAATTTCTTGCTGTTATATTTAGAAGTTGTAACAAAACAGATTACCAATATGCCGTAACCGACATAATATTTCTCATGTTATTCTTTATCAAAATAACTGCCATTTAAATTGTGCTGTACCAATTTAAGGAATCGCTATGTGACTTTATTCAGTCATAAATTAGCTTATCAAACATGCGAGATCACTTGTACTTGAAAAGGCTAAGTCATAAATACTCGTGAGTGCATTTGCAGAGACGCTCGCCAACGCAGCCTGTCTAATTAGTTTTCAGGGAAAGGAAGATGTCATGGTTGACTGTAATTTTCTTCTGATAATCTTTATTTATTATTGAAAAACATTGTCATTTGGGTTCTGGAATATGCTCATCTTTTTTGTGTAGACATAGGACATGTTTCCATAGTCGACTCTCATAATTGGCACCTTGTTCGATTTCCCTTTCATTCATACCAGCCATTGTACATCGTTTAAGAAGAAAATGTATCATTGAAAACAATTCCTACCAATGTAAAAATGTTGATATTTTAGTACTATATCTTGTTTTAAATAGCTATCTCCTATTCATGAGTAACATTACCCATTTTCATTTGTCTCAAAATTGAGCATTGAGCACTTTACTATTGCTTAAAGCACAATATATGTACTCATCATCTTTTTACCCTTGCAGCCAATATGGACATATTTTGACGTTTTCGTAGACCTGTCATGATTAATTTGACAGATGTTATTTTTTGATTGATATATTTTGACCTATTTGATTGACATGATTTGACTATGCGCTGGAAAGGTTTTGACATATTTGAGATATTTTGACGTCTATCGCATGATAATATATTAAATGACAATTTCTTTTCTTTTTTCTGATATTAGTTGTCTTCTTTGTAATTTAACCAGTTTTCTAGCATATACAATCAGCCCATCAAAAACGTTACTTCTCTACAGTCAAACGGCTTCCATTCTCTTTTGGGGATTTAAGGTGGCGTTGATTTCAGAGTAGAAAATGCTGTTTTTAAAACACTGTGACTACTTTTCGATCAGTTTGAAGTCAAAGTAGGGGAGAATTCTTTGGACAACCAATTGCCACTTGGATATTTAGGCCAGCTTGCAAATACTCTCTAAAAAATGTGCTCTTTACTAAGGCGGAAAGGGAGGGGAGTACGTGAGATTGTGTAAAGACTAAATAAAAACAAAGTGTTACAAAATATAATATATAATTATAAAATACTATTACATATACAGAGATTTTTAACTATGACATGTTAATCTTCCGTACACAGTGACTTGGCCAGACAGAAAAAACATAGATGAGTCTCGGACATCAATGGAAACCTGTGTCCGACTTAGTGCAAAAGTCACCTCGGAAGCTATACTTGGACGAATATAGAAATACACAGTGATGTCATGCCGCAAAAGGATTTTTTCCAATATATTGATATACATGTATAGTATGCAAGCCCTTTCCTAACTATGCAAGGAGTGGCTACAATAGAGCTAATATCAGTATGAGATGATGCCCTACCTTACATTGATTATTAGCTAAACCTTGTCTAATAATCCGACCCTAACACCCACTCAAGCCTAACCACCAGAAAACCCATATCTCCAGTATGCACCGGTTCAGTTCGGCTTTCGTTAACATTCCGCAACCCAGGATTGAGCTGCTGGTCGTATTTCAGTGTTATGCTCACCCAATTTACCACCTTACATAACCCTCTCAAAACCTGAGCTGGATACGTGGGAGTGAATCATTCGCTCACATACCATCTGGGACTAAGCATGGGTACCAGCTAATCCACTTCACTAGTCGAAATCTCTAGCAGGAGCAATGGGGCAACAAAACCTCGTACCAAAACACATACATAATAAGGCCACCGGTCATATCGGAGACTCAGAGAGCGAGATATCACGCCAATAAACCGTTCTCCAAAGGAACAGGTACATAAATTTGCAGAACCGTATGTCGCTTTCTGTTCCTTTTTTAACAACTGATTTCAGCTCACATCCATGTTTGGATCTAAAACAATAGAGTGTAGAGATATGTTGAGGATTTGTTCGATTGGTCGTACGTTCTATCTGTATAGACACTTGTAGAAACAATAAGCATTAAGTAGTAGACAAATCGAACGTACCCAATCAACAATTTTTGAACTGACTAGAAAGGACTCGTTAATCAAGACTTTTTAATGGTTTAAGGTTTCTAACCTCTAGTGTACTATAATGAGCATCCTATAATTCATCCCTTATAGGATTAAACATAGAGATCTTTTCCCTTTTGTAACATTTAAAAAATGCTGGGGGAAGGGACATCTATTAAAAGAATGAAGGGGAGGTGGGCAACTATAAATGAAATAAATGAGAAATATAAGTCGGCTAGAGGGAAGGGTTGGGACATCTTAAAAAGTAGGAAGGGGAAAGGAAGGAGTGAGATATAGCGACATCATTTGAAAGATCGGGTGAATCAGTGGCGGTGCCATTGTGGGTATCAGTGGCGGAGCCCAAAAAGGGGGGGGGGAGGGGGGGGCCTAAGGGGTTACCCGCCCCACGCAGCCCTGGAGGCATGTTTTCAAAAATCTCAAAATCTCATAACTGTGTTAGAAATTCGGGCAACCTCGGGTAACCTCGTAAACCTGGCTACGCCACTGGTGGGTATGGGAGGAGCACTTGCCTCCACAGAAGGATGCACTCTCATCTTTTGTACCCATTTCATTCCTAGGAAATTCTATAGTATGTGTGCATCATATCATTCTATTTTATATTTTTCTGGGGATGTGGTGTTTGTGTGTATGTGGATCGTCACAATAGCAACTTATGTATTTAGAACAGGAGCCTCAACCTAACACTTCTTTTATTTTCAGATTCTGAAAATTATGGATTTTCACTTCATACATTCAAATTGTTATATTATTAGAATAACTGCATAAACAATATTCTCTCACGAGAGGTTAAGCCTGCATGCCTGTGCTTTCAAAACATTACTTAACCGCAATGTTACAACCTAACCCTAGCAGTAGTCACAATAGTAGTTTGTGTATTTAAAACAGTTGCCAGCCCTCAAGCTAACCGGCACATATTTATTTTGATTTCCATGGATATTAATATTACTGTGGGAAGCATCGGATCGCATCGTATCTTTCGGATACGAAGGGACATGCATTGAAAAGGGGCAATTTGGCATGAAGTTTGCTCTTATCTTATCTATCTCCACTAAGGTGGAATTTCTATGTTAAATTCATTCAGAATACAGACGCTTTTACAGTTTGAAGAAAACAATCGTACAAGTTTGTTTGGAATCTTTGGTTATACCAGAAAAGGAATACTAATCTGGATAAAAAGAGCTCTTTTACATGAGTTAAGTATCAGTATCTTTCAAATTTCCAGTTCATTTGTTTCTGCTATGGAATCTCTTTTGTAGACAGTGGTATCAAGAAAATGTATACTCTTGTAATTCTCTTTTGCAGTAGGTTGGTGGACATGTGGTGTTATTGAGAATTTCGCAAACTCCGAAAATTTGATTAACTGTTTCGGTCCATTGTTAGGAAATATGTAATTGGAAACATTAACCTTACTAAAATCAGTGGCGTTTTCTATAGTGGAAAGACCTATCTTTTTGATTTGATTGGATTAGACAAAACTTGGTATGCTGGATGTTGGATCACAAACCTTTTTGATAAATGGTTTTTGTCCCGGCCAAAATAAGAAACAACTGACGTGCGTTCGCCGATAGGATTTTGACATCGTTGGCATTTGAGAGATGAAATTTGGTAAACTAAAGTTTAGATTGGACTTTAGATTTGTATAGGATACACTGTACATTAGTTTGAGTTTGCTGGTTTTCAATGAACGGGCATGGGTATTGAGTATTGTATATTGTTCTTTATATGGCCTTAGTATACCGAAGTAGGATTTTGAAAGAAAATCAGGCCTACAATTAAATATTACTACTTACCGGCGGGTTTGTATGGTTTCATTTTTCATAAGGTTAATGCTGTGACAAATATATTCATACTGTGCAAGAGAAAAGCTTTTGTTTTCAAGAATCTATTCCTGATTTATTATTGAGGAGCATTTGAACAGCAAAATTAACAACTCTAAATTAACTTTCGAAATTGGCTTGTCTTAAACTTTTATTGCACTTCTTAAATAATTGTAGATTTTCAGATTGTAAGATCTAGTAATCTTGAACTGTTCAGTTGCTAATTATAATATTTAATCAAACACGGTGTCGTTTAGATTGGGTAGTGCTAGATGATATAACAGTGTTAAACACAAGTTTGATTATTAAGTTGTCTGTTATGGGTTCCATAACGGTTCTGCATTGTGTACCATACTTCTTTTATATCGACCGCCATTATTCTGTTGTTCTTGATCTCTTTGTTGCTGCTCTTCTTCTTGCTGCTCTTGTTCTTCTTCAGCTTGCTGTTGTTGTTCTCGTTCCTCCTCAGCTTGTTTCTGTGAAGCATCTTGCTCAGACTGATAATCATAATCTGAATTTCCCTGTCGTTTCTGTCTATGTAAATGTTTGATAGATGAAACTACTTGTGCTATTATCAATATATAGGTTACTATCTGAAACCAAAAAGATAAATTAGATAAAAACGTAACATCACAATTTCATATGATATATATTTCGATTAAGATAGGTCTATATTTATACTGCAACTCCGACAAGCTGTTCAACAAGCCTTGAAGTTTACGAATCTTGAAGCTCAACAAACATGTCTAACTGAAATTATATGAATGCAACAAAAATGCGGCCAACTAGGGAACAATAAATAACGATATTAGAAGTATTGGTAATAACATAATGCGAAATGATAATAAATCTATGTAATCTATGTAAAAAAATGTAATCTATTATGACCTGTTATTATCTAATTGCATAATTAAGGATATTTTACATGAAAATGAACGCCAACAAATGGTAAAACAAATATCTTTCCGACTAAATCTCTTTGAATAAAGTTTAAAAAAAAGACCAAATAAACAGAAAATTACCTACCAATAAACGTTTCTTCATGGTTGCTACTGGCTTTCCAGATGCTTTATGCATAACGATGACAGCTCCTGCATTTTATATTTCAAAATTTTTATAATTGTTTTTCTTACTACGTGACGTACCCTTTATCTGAAGTTTCTTTTGTTTTGAACTGTTTTGATATGCAATTTGTAAAAGGTTTGGCAGATATGAACTTGAAGGGAATAATATGATACTATAATACAGCACACATGCTGGGAAGTAACTTACAACGTACCATATGACACCCTTAATTTCCTTAACACAGTTGAAAAAACTAACACAACATGGATTGTGATTTGATGGTGCCGCCTTGATAGTCAATTGGTTTAAATAATCACGACACCAGTAAGCTTAATGATACGTTATAGTCTTGAAGAGGTTTGTGTATCTGACCTACAATCACATTCAATTTTTTATAGTTTTAAAGGACGTTTGGGATTACAGAATCGGGAAATGGAAAAGTGTGTCCGTCCGTCGACATTGATAGAAAGCATGATAAAAGCTGCTTTTTGATCCGGGTTTGCCGAAACTTATAATTGATATATAAATGATGAAATCCTTAATTAGTTCAAATGAGATGATGTTTCATTGTTTTGGTAACAGCGCTTTGACAAGATAAATTGTGTCAAGATCAGCATATGTATAAGTTTCATCCAATTTGGCTTATAGCTTATCATGTGCGTTTTGTGATGAAGAGATCTTGGAAATTTTCGAAAACGTCTCGATGATTTGTGTTTTGACAGGTTAATAATCTTTAAAAAGCTTAGGTTCATTTCGATTTGGATGGAACATAGTTATGTGAACATGCATTTGTATTGAAAAGGAAACAATATTACGATAAAGATGGTTTTTTTGTAAAGTTGTGCTCTTAGCTTATATTTCAGTTTAGGCATATTTATTATCATTTTCTTTTAACTAGAGTTTTCCAATGTGTGTATTATAAGGTAATTTATAATATACCTGTATTGGCGAAAAAAGCTGAAATCATAGAAGACAGGGATACCAGTTAGTCAATAATACCCTCGCCTCACTGGAAAGGCGTCAGGTGTTGCTACGACAACGGAAAATTGGTTTAAGTCCGGCGCACACACGAGCCACCAGCTGAGGCAGAATTCATTCGTGTACTTCTCCTTTAGGCGATAGCTTCCGTGTGCGGGTAAATGTAAGATGTTGGTCATTCGAGGCAAAAAGTTTAAAATCAAACGTGTTTGTAGCGTCTCTTCTCTCCCTATCTGTAAAATCTTCAGATCTTACGTCGTAAAGACAGGTATAATCAGGCCACAACGACCCCCACCCCCTACTTTTGCAGTTATTAGAATCTCTTAAATTAAGAAATTATTTGTCAGTGAGAATCGTTTAATAATTAATAAAAATACATTATTCTTATTATTATATACTAACGTAACGTTCACTGTACATCAGCTTCGTCGGCAGCTTCCTCTCTAGCCTCTTCCTCTGCTTGCATTTCTTGTTCGTAAGCTTGACCTTCGGCCTGCATTTCCTGTTCGTAAGCTTGTTCTTCCATGGCCTGCTCTTCTGCCTGCATTTCTTGTTCATACGCCTGTTCCTCGGCTTGCATTTCTTGTTCATATGCTTGTTCTTCCTGTTGCATTTCATACTCATAAGCCTGTTGTTCTTCTTGTTGCCTCTCTTCTTCGTATTGTTGTTCATACTGTTGCTCTTGTTCATATTCTTGTTGAATTTCCTGTTCATATTCTTGTTCATACTGCTGTTCCTCATCTTGCATCTGCTGTTCATACTGCTGCAATTCCTGATCCATTTCATATTCGTATTGTTGTTCTTCTTGTTGAAGTTCGTACTCATATTGTTGTTCTTCTTGTTGCTCCCTTTCTACTTCTTGTTGATATTCTTCTTCATATTGTTGCTGTCTTGCTTCATAGTCATAATAACTACTACAATAATCATACTGCCTTTTACGTCTACTTACTGGATATGATATTGTTTCCAACACCAACAGTAACATACATACTAATACCTGAAAAAACAAGTAATATATATTATCTCAGATCCTACTGTTCTGCCTCCAGACGCCTAACATTGTTAAATAACACTCATAAAATAGTTTATTATAACGGTATTTGATGGATGCATATTTGGTATTTAAGTAGTAAATAAATAAAATTCTTAAACCTGCTAATTTTGCATATTGCGTTTCTACCGATTGATTTTAAACATTAACCATTGCTTAACCTGGTGCAATAGATGTAACTGTAGCGTCATCTCAGTGAAAGAACAGAACGAAATGTTATTTGTAAGTGCTTTGAACATTGGTAATTTCAAAGTATTTTAAAACATGAATGTATTTGTTTGCATCATAGAAGCCATAATTAAAAAAAAATTAATTTAACCCCAATATTAATTAATACTTACTAAAATGCGTGTCATGATTCTACGTGTGTTTCCTATGCAATGTTATAGTTTATAACCAAAAAATGACAATCTTCTTTACACAAGCTAAAATTGTTACTCGTGTAAAATAGTATCAGAAAATTATCTCTTGACAAGGGTGTTACGTAGGGTGTGGTATGGGCGTGTGATATATACCTTTACTTTGTCTTGGCAGGAATCTATTCAATTCTTTACACGAGAATCCCGTGAAGACATGCACTAAAGTTTACATCACGTTTCAGGGTCGGCATTAGTCACGTTGTTAATTATAGATATCATCAAGAGTACTTCTTTTTCACCCCAATATTAAATTAAAATATTACTGCTTCCAACTAAAAAAAGGCATATACATTTTTGTTTTTTTTTTGTTCTGTCCGGCGAATATACGAGCAGGTCTACGAGGTGTGTCAGCAAAGTTCCAGGACTGGTGTAATTTTGGTGACTAAATTCTGTACCTTGCCTCAGTAGGCTATGCCAATAATTATTTGGTTTTAAATCTAAAACGCACGGTGTGCAGACAATTAAGGGAAGGAACTCTGAAAATCAAACGATCTTGTCATCACTTCCTTGAGTGACATTTAGTAATTGGGGTATGAATTACTGGACACAATTATATGGATAACAATTTCTGTGTGTTCCGTTTTATTTCTGTCGTTGAAATTGGATCATTTTAGTTTTGATCATGCTTTAAAAGGCTATTTATTTTGTTTTATTGACGTCACCAAAAGGACAGACAATTTGAAATCGTTTCATACTATGAAATCTGCGACCCTTGAAATAAACAATACTAATTTTAGCGTAAATTTTTATTGACGATTGGGGTGGTAGGGCGGATGGGATTTTAAACCCACCCTCTTACAAACTTTCCCAACTTCTCTGCCACGTTTTCATGCACTACTTGAAGGATATTTATCTGGGATTTTTTGCAGCATCGTCGTCACGACTGTCTTGATGTCACTCAAACCATGTTCCTTGATGACCCCTTGAGCTTTGGAAATAGAAAAAAGGATTACCCCGAGAAAGCCGTTCAATGGGTATATTCAAGCATGTGTATCTGCAAATACCATTTCCTATGGGATGTTTCCGCACCTCCAGAAACATTGAAACAAACCCTATTCCAATATAGCCCACACATTTAAACTATTGTTTGCGATAGCGACCTCAGGGGACTATTTTGTATAGAAGCCACATCACAGTGGGGTACCTCAACAAACTACTGGACCGGCATTTTTTCCCCTTTCCCCTTTCCAGTTCCATGTTTTCATAGCTGAGTTCTTAAATGCCCCCCCCCCCCCCTAACCTTAAACAATACTGCGACGCCCCTACTCAGCCCTCCATCTAATGATTCCTAGAAACGTCACTACGGAGCTTATTGTTGTGTACATGCAATCAATATGTGAAACATTAAAAGTGGTCTGTCCTGCCTTAACCACGACCGCCATCATTCAAATTACTTATTGTAGTGGATTTAAAATATAAAAAAATGGTCTCTTAGCTACAGCACAGATGCTCGCTTTTAAAGTGTTTTGATAATATGCAAATTTGCTAAAACTCCGTATCTTGTTTTCAACTTTTCAATTAAAATGAAGAATGCAATTAAAATATAAAACATACTTTGACATAATCTACATTCACAACAATTGATATATATTTATATTTATTTAACTAACATGGTAAAAAAACGTACTAACATTGATCCTTCAACCTATTTATTCATACCAAGACAAAGTCTGTTGTAGACAATTAGACTGAATTGATTGAGTTAAATTTAACTCGCCAGTCCACATCCTCTCATCAATAGGGATCCAATAGAATAAACAGCATTCATATGGGTCGTATTCTGAAATTTAAAATGTACAAGAGTTGTATGCATTGGTATATGTTGTACAAAAAAAAGTTTTATAGACCAATAGTTGGACTTAATAGTTGGATAACGTGATAACGTCATAATAACGTGACGCTCAAACCCTATCTCTAAGCTCTGTGTTACCATGACGTCAAACCAGCTATGGGCAGTAAAATTTTACATATTAGGGCCAAATTAAAGCGTTCTATTTATATTTTAGGAAATTTTATTTGTCCAACATCTACTCGTGTACTATCTGTTCACTTTGTCAAAACAACATCAGAATACGTTTTTAAATAACACAGCAATGTCAAAATGTTTTTTTTACACGGCAAAATTTTTATCATTTATCCTAAAATAACACATCAATACAAATATTTCAGAAAACTTCTTTGTGTCCATCAAGTTTTATTACTTATGATATTTGATTTTAGGAAAGAAGATCCAAGGTTGCTGTTTAATGTAACAGTTCCATTTAAATTTAGGCCTTTGAACCTGATTTCAAAAGACAGGAACATTCACAAATCTCATTCAAATGTCTATTGAATCCTTTTTAAAAAAAAACATGGTGAAGAGCTCTAGCTCTATGAAATTTAGAAACACAAGAAAATACCAAGAAAATACCTTTATTTGGTCTTAAATTTTGATTGAAACAGTTCACCAAGCTTTCTTAAATCTAAAAAAATTAAAAAATTAAAAACAGGTCTAGAGAGTCAATGAGATTTTTTACAAAATGAAATTTGAATTAAGAGAAACTACAGATAAAGATCTACTTACAAAGCAGCCATTCTAAAACTCTTGAGTGAAAGTAAGTAAATATATAAGTAAGGTATCTCTTTGCAAAATTCACAGAGAAAAATCATAGCCTCCCTCTTCAAAGAAAACTAAGCTCTTTGTGCTAAATTATTCATATTCCATTATGACGTCATAATCAATATTCGTTAAAGATTAAGAGTTTTTGATTGGTTTAGATTTTATATTGTGGACTGATTATATTAATGTCTGCATCAGCCTCATTAAGACCAACAGAAATCGATGTCGATCATCCAAACACCAACATTTTATATTAATTTGGAATAATAATCAGTGACATCAACATCATGGAATCTAATTTTCTAATTGCAAAAGCTTCGTGTGTGAAATAAATTAGATGGGCCGTTGTTCTCTTTTTCTAAAAAGCGCCGTATGAGGCGATGAATTTATCCAAACAACACCGTTTGCAATTGAGAGAGGAGTGGCCAAACTCATATATTACTCATATCAACTCAGAGTTTCGTATGTATGTTCATATAAACAAAACAAAATGTTAAAATAGCTATGTGCCAACAAGATTATTGACAAGTTCAAAAACCACTTTAATTAACTTATGATTTATCTTGATACCAGATAATAGGTTTACCTGCTATATGAAAAGACGGTAGAAATACGCTGTAAAGGCCTAATTACGAACGCGACCATTGCGAATTTCGCGCGACCTTCCGCACGGATCATCGTTCGTATTGAAAGCGGCGTTATGCGCGTAAATTCGCTGATGAAACGAGCTCAGATTGAACTGGCAGACAGGTATGAACTTTGATCTCACACTCTGATTGGCTAATGTCAATACTTCGCGCGGTCTTTACCTAAAAATTCGCTCTGGAGGCAATCTCCGCGGCTTTCCGCCTCAACGACCTCATACAAAATCAAGTTAAGCAATCCAATGCGAACGCCGCGTTCGCGGTCGCGGCCACGGTCGCTGTCGTAGTCGCGCTCAGTATAAACGGACCTTAACATCGGATGTGCTGAAAGAACGATATATATTGCTACACACATAATTATTATGGAAATCAATTTTATCTCATGCAATCTGTAATGCAAGGCTGACGTAAGATTCACGTGTGAAATGTGATATAGGTATAGCTATATCAGCGTAAAATCACAATTTGAGAGTTATTTTTCATCGGCTAGTAGGAATCATAAATGTATTCAGATTATAAAAAAGAGAAATCGTTCATTCAACAATATTTTTATTAATATATATAATATTTTACAATATTGTAAGGTCAGTTTTTTCTTGTTTTATAAACTTCATGGCTCTAACTTTTTTCCAAAATCCAATATTTCAAAAGATAGGCCTACCCCAATTTACACGAAATTCCACTTATTAATTATAAATCACCCCAGATTAGGTGTGCTAACCAGTCAACCACCCAACCACTCCAAGCGGAAATGACAAATTGCGCTAAAATTAATATTGTCAAATTTAAGGATGCTACAAAATGAAGCAAAGATTTTTTTAAGAGTACCGAGGAAGACCTCTTTTAAAAAATGATAATATATGAATCTAATTTTAGATTTTAAGAATTCCAACCTAACATTCATGTACATAAAAATAATTTAGCATTACTGCAAAAGGTATGTTGAAATTTTGCATATTTGGTGATACTAAAGTGGTCATAACCCTTCGACCTGTGGTGCTCGTACAGGTATTGCTTGTTGAATCTAACAAATTGAAATTGAATTGAAATTTGCAATTATTGGAAAAAAAATGAAAATATACCGTCACTAGATCACGAAAGCACCAATCGGAGTTGTTTTCTACTAATTCACAACGAAAATCTCTTATACTAGCAACATAATGAGATTCGCTGCTTATTTCAGAGAATTGTAAATCTTACAAAGAACAAGGAACTGCTGAAGATTATAGAATGCTATTGACATTAGTACAACATAAGTCTGTTGTTTCAATGTACCAAAGTGGATCGGTTTCTACATGTTATTATTGTTAGCTGCTTGGCTTTGTTCATCAGATATCTGTTGTTGTCTATCTTGTTGTCTGTGTTGTACATCTTGTTGATATTTCTGTTCCACATTCTGCATATCCTGATCATATTTTTGTTCTGTATTTTGAAGATCCTGTTGGTATTTTAGCTCTGTATTTTGCATGTCTTGTTCGTAGTCTAGTTCTTCCTGGTTATATCGTTGCTGTTGCTCTGTGTATTGGTTCTGTTGCTGTTGTTGGTAGTCATTTTGTTGTTGTTGGTAGTCAGACTGTTGTTGTTGATATTGTTGTTGTTGTTGATACTGTTGTTGTTGATCTGCTTGATTATTGTTGTTGTTATACTGCCTCTTCTCTCGGCTCAATTTTTCTGAGGAAGCTGATTCCTCAATAATCGTCAACACCACAATAAAACAACTTGTCTGAAATAATATTAAACCAACAAGCTGACTAAGTATTAATCTATAGCGAGTGTAAACAGCAAAGAAATGAAATGGAGCCTTATATGAACTTATTGAACAATAAAGTGGACAACTTGGAAATTTTTCAAGACGGTGGTCAAATATCTCGATCGTTTCGGTCATGGGAAACTATGACGGAAAATCGAACCTCTCGCTGCCACCAAGGTCTAAACCACAAGCTTATAATATAATACATAAACTTATAATTAACTGCAAACGGGACTGTTTCTGTCTGCTGGGTCTCGTCAGTGCAGTGCTGATACTGGGGTTGAGGTTTTGCTATATAGCCGCCCCAGTTGTCCCTGCATATGTGGTATTATCGTACCATGCCAGAGTGCTCAAACCAGTAAACTAGTGAGCTACACATACACGCTAGAGACAATGGTACACTCCAGATAGAGTACTCTACACGTTATGAGCCAAGTTGCATATCTAGCTGCAAACGGGACTTTTTATGGCAGTCTGGACCACATCAGTGCAGTACTAATACTGGAGTTGGGGTTTGTCTATATAGCCGCCTAAGATGATCCCGCATATATGGTATCATCGTACCACGCCAGAGTACTCAAACTTATAATTATAAAAGCTTTAAATACCAATTATATAACTTTTGATACTTACTATTAAAAGCTTCATGATGGCACCAAATATGTCTCCGGTAGAGGTTTCTAAATTGTTTTTGGTTGTATATTTATAGTTTCTGATGATACCAACCGATGTCTATAACGTGTGTGTTTCAAAACATTCTTTGTAAGTAAAGGTATTTCCTGAAAATTTCTTTGAAAGAAACATGTTATTATGATTCTTGCACACTTGTATTAGAACTGATGCAGTTTATTATTTAGATTGCACCATTCACTTGCTGGGTTTAGAGAAAAAAAACATAATTGTTTGTGCACATTTTATAGGTGTGGCAAAATAAAAAGTGATTGCACTTGGTGAGCATTGTCTTTTTCATTTTTGTACGTTACAAGGTGATGATACACCTGTCCTGTATGTGTAAGTCCAATCACATTGTCTCGAGAACGCGATATTTCCTTAATAAATGCATATTGATGAGACCTGGAATGGGTATGATTTTGTGAGTCAAAATCGGTGTATGAAAGTAAACCTAGTAAGTTTATGGCTCGGACGAGTTCGTTTTCCATGAACCGTTAGCTACTGCCCTTGAATTGATGGAGACCTATAGTTTTGATAAGAATTTAACTGCTGTGTGGGCGTATAATTTTTGGGCGAGCACTCTTTTTCACTTATTGTGTTCTTCATTTGTTGGTACATTGTAGTATATCTTCATTACATAGTGACATACGTTTAAAGGTCCAGCAATTTTTAATCTCAAGGGACTTTATTGCGAACGTATAAGTAAGGTATTGCAGCAATATGACAATGACAACGGTTTAAAGAAAGATACAACGCCAAAATGTATAGTGTATACGTTAACAACTTTTATCTGAGTTACAAACCTATTTAGAGGACGACGTTGGAAACACGTCGAAACGTTATTTGACCAGTGATTGTTATTCTATAAAACTGTGTCAATTTTGGGGAGTAGAATTTATAGTATACATCCAACAGCATTACAGCGATATTACCAAGTTAATAAAATATTAAAGCTGCAGCTATATGTTTATTTCTGATATCATAATATGTTTTAAAATCATTTCAATAAAATTCATCGTACAAAACAAGCAAAGAAAAAAGCAACGAAAAAGTTAAAATAAAAAATCTTGGCAGTTTAAATACGTCCACTGTACATATAGGCATAAGGGTTTTGAGCAGCTTGTTGTCTAGCTTGGTTAGCTGCTTCCTGTGCAGCTCTCATAGCAGCTTGTTGAGCAGCCTGTTGTTGTTGTTGGGCCGCTTGCTGAGCAGCTTGTTGTGCAGCCTGTTGTGCTGCCTGCTGTGCTTGTTGAGTGGCTTGTTGTGCAGCCTGTTGTGCTGCCTGCTGTGCTTGTTGAGTGGCTTGTTGGGCAGCCTGTTGAGCTTGTTGAGCATACATGTTAGGGTCATAGTAAGCCTGTCGTTTGTGGCGTATTGCGGTGGCTACAACCATACATAAAGCTAAGATCTACAAATAATAACAAATAGATTAGTATCACAGGGGTATTCGACTTGCCCAGTCTGGTGATTCCGAAAAAGAGAAACTTTGCGTATCATAAGGTACAATAGCTCAGACTGTAGTCAGTTATATTGTTGACTGTTGCTGGTCTTAAGTATCCCATAGGATAGAATATCTGTCTAAATTTCTGCTTCCACGGTTCTTTAATTAAACATTTGAGAATGATAGATAAGTATCAATAACGATAGGGTGTGGATAGACGAGGTACGGTGTCTGATAGGGCGTACGATGCCGTATTATCGATACAATAGACGATAGAAGAAGCGAATATTGTAGGTGCGGATCCGGGCACGATTGGCTTCTTCTGTTTACTACTGTATCGACTCTTGGCTCCTTTATCCTGTTTGTTCAACCATCAACGAAGTAATAGTAAAACTTACCATTAAAGTTCTCATGATGACTTGGTGTTGGAAATACAGAAGATAGTCTTGATGATGAGACAAGTAGCTTTCAACTGATTTCAGATGGCCAATACACTGCCTTATATACTGAATATTATTCTAAAATTGACAAAGATCTATTTGAGGTTTATTACTGAAAAGGGAAGTTAATTTGAAAGTTGAATGTTGTACTATAATTTTAGACAATCTATTTGTTTTGTTTTGTACATGTAAAGTTGGTTAAAAAGAGTGTATCCATTTGGTAACAATTACTTCCGAAATATAAATACATAATGTAATTAAAAAAATATGACGGACGGAAATGAATTTTTTTTTTTTACATGTTAAAGTAGGTTTATCATTGTACGTTTTTAGAACGTAATGGAGCTATGATAACGTTATTTTACAACCTGTGGCGCAAGAATTCATCATCATGCAACGACTAAAATCATAATATGTACGTACGTATGAAAGCTTTATGAAAAGTTGAAGTGAAAGATGTATAAATTATGCTATTCCTACTTCAGAATTAGTATATTCATTTGCAAGGTAACCCCCAAACTATAATAATAATAATAATGTGTATATTCCGATAGCGCTAAACTCCACGCAAAAGTGTGTTCATAGCGCGAACAAAAGGGTGTAAAGACTAACTAGAGTCGAATAAAACAGTTTTCACTTTGTTTTGAGCATTTTGTGTGTTGGCAAGGATTTTAGACTTTCTGAAGACACAAGGGGGTTATTCCGTTGGTTGCAGCCAATGAAAAAGTACGGAAACCATACGTTTTCATGCTATAGTTTGGCACTTGTAGTAGATTTTTTCGCTAGATCTCAGATTTCTTTGCAATAAGATCAGTCAGGTATTCTGGAGCCATGTTTGGGGTACATTGGTAAGTCAAAGAGGCGATTTTATAATCGATCCGCTTCGATACTGGCAACCAATGGAGCTTTTTCAGAATTGGTGTAATATGGGCGTATTTAGGCGATTTTGTTACTATGCGGCGGCGGTATTTTGGATTGATTGCAGTCTAGTTATATTGGACGAAGATGTTTCGGAAAGGAGACTATTACAGTAATCGATACGAGTTAACACCAAGGAACAAACAAGTGTTGCTGCCGCAGACTCAGTAATTAACTGTCTGATGCTTCCAATGTTTCTAGGAGTACTAAAAGAGACAGATTACCCGACCCCTGTCTACTGAGCACTGCAGATCATTCACCACTCGCAAAAGTGCCGTTTCAGTGCTTTGACATCAAGTCCCGGCTTTTTGAGGGGTGGTTTCACGACTGTGGGCTTGAATGCTTTTGGTACGACTCCAGATTGAAGACTTCTATTTATTATATCAGTAATAACAGGCAGAAGGTCATCTAAGATTTCAATAATAAATTTGGTGGGAACAGGATCTAATTCACAACTTGTCGGTTTTGAAGATCTAATCAGTTTTCCGACTTCCTCCTTGCTGAAGGCTCTGAACGAATTAAGGGTAGTCGGGGATTCAACTAGGCCACTTGAAGAGATGCCTACACCATTATCATGATTCAAAAGATTCAAGTCATTTCTGATCTTGGTGATCTTTGATTGAAAGTATTCACTAAAATCATTGACCAGTTGTTTTGTATCTTCAACTGGTGGAAAAGGATTCGCCTTTGATTTTCCCGTTGGATCAAACAAGTGCGCAAATAAAGACTTCGAATTCCTAGAATTATCTGTTTTTTGTTTCACGTAGTAGTCTGACTTAGATTGACGCAACATACGATTAACATCTGATTTCGCGCTACAGAATATCTGTCTGTGAATTTCTAATCTGGATTTGCGCCACTTGCGCTCCGCTGCGCGTCTCTTCGATTTCGTTTTTGAAATTTTATCGTTATACCATGGTGCGTGTGGCTTTATCATAACTACTTTTGATTTTGATGGGGCATGAGTATCGAGGAGTGTTTCAAGTGAAGAGTTGAACAACTCAACATATTCATCCAGGACATCTAGAGGGTTTGTGAAAAGATTCGTATTAAGTAAGTCATTGGAAAAATTTTCCTTAGAGATTTGCTTGAGGTTCCTGCACGTAACAATCTGTGTTTCGCAGATTGGAGTTTTGAAATTTAGTATGATGTGAATGAAAAAGTGATCCGACATTTGTTCATCAACCACTGATATTGAATTAACCATATGCTCACTCTCCCTTGACAATACCTAGTCACTAAGGTGGCCATTTTGATGGGTTGGTTCAGAGACATGTTGTTGAAGTCTATGAGAATCTAAAAGTTTAATAAGTTTATCTGATTCGTTAAAATGGATGTTGAAATCGCCGAGAAGCACGAGTTCGCCCTTTTTAACATTGACAGTATTCAAGAGTTCAGATATGTTGTTATAAAAATCTGTATTTGATAGCTGATTTGCCTTTGAAGGAGGAGGTCGATAGATACAAATTGCCCGAATGGTCTTCAGATAATGAGTAATAAGACTCTCAAGCAATTCGAAGGAAGGATATATCTCATTTACATTGTTCCTTATTTGAATGTTCAGTACACGTCTATGGATCGCGGCAATTCCACCACCATTCGTCGCAGTTTTTCGAGGAACATGCTGAAACATATAACCCGGAGGAGTAATCTCGGCAATTTTCGACTCGTCACCCACCTCTTCTAACCAAGATTCGGTTATAAATAAAATGTCAATATTATCATCAATGATCTTATCATGGGTTATAACAGTTTTATTTCGACAGGACCTAGCATTCCACAACACAACTTTGAGATTAGTGGGTTTCCGTTCGGGATGACATTAACAGAATTAATAGTGGAAGACGACCCAGTGTTTGCATGCAAATGAATTGGACGTAGACTGGAAACAACAGTAATAGGAAATACGGGGAGAGGCTTATTTTGTTTGCCGGTCCCAGCCCTAGATCGGCGGCCACTTCGAAATATATTAAGATTCTTAAGGAAATGTATGTCAAGATTTTCATTTGTCTTATTACCAAAGTTTTTTATTGAGTAAAGTTGTTCGCGTGAATAGTTAATCATGTTGGGATTAATGACAGTTAACTATTGAAAGTTGATCGTAATTGATTAAAACCGTTCACTATTGAGAGAGGAGTAAGGAAATAATACTCAACATAATCTGTTCAAAATCCATTGTTATACATAGAAATGTCAACAACTCCTAATTCCAAAACACACATATATTGAAAGTACCAAGGAATGATCCAGGATATGAGATAAATATCCACGTATAATTTTCAATATCCAATGTCACGAATTAATAGCAAAATAAACTAAATAGCTCAGAGCTCAATTACAGTGGCTGTCTGTGAGGCGCAAGGATATATTATATAGACCGCATAAATTTTAACAAATCCTACAGAGGTCAAAACGATTTCTGGAATTTCTAGATATTCTTTGGAATTGAATGCCTGTCTGTGTATGACCATTTCCGAGGGTTTCAGTTATCTCAGTCGCTTCAGTGGCGGGTACAGAAAAATACCCGCAAATGAATCTCCTCCTCCTTATTTTTAAGAAATTTCAAAATATGTTTTTTATACGTCTGTGCTCGAACGCACCAAATCAATTCTTGGTTCAAAACTTTTCTGTGGGATCGACACTTCAGATACTCGACGCTTCCATAGCGTTCCTCTTCTGGAGTCTCAACTTCAAAAGTTGTCCCCCATAAAATCAAATTATTTTCTATTTGTACCCCCAATTCCAGAAGGCTAGGTCGCACCCGAGTCGCTTCCCCTATTCGTGTTCTTATCAATATGCTCAAAATGATCCCCAAACGCCTGTTTATGCCAAGTAAAATTGTCAATTACCTAAGCACATTTTTGAGGTTTTCAATGATCTGTTTAATATTGCAGTAATAGAACAGTACCTAGTGATCACGGAAGCAAAACGACAACATGACCGGCAACAATGCAAGCTTTATTTTACACAAATAAAATATGAAACAATTGACACAATATAATCTACTAACATGACTTTTAAAACATTTAAAACTAAGCAAAAAGTATAGCACATCAACACTGACTAGATGTAAGATTCTTAAAATGCTGTAAAAATTGATAATAAGAATATGCATATATCTATACAAATTATTAACGGTGTATTTTGTTTATAGTGCATGTGTCCAACAAAGTTTAAAATTATTTGTCAGTTGTCTCTTTTACAGATCAAATCTCTGGTTGCTCATGGTAAGCTATGGCATCTGTCTTTAAAACATTGCTTAAACATTCATCCAATGTTTGTCATTCATCTATCAAAACATTCAAACATGTCAAAAAAATATGTTGGTTGTTCTGGTTAATTAAGTTTAACAATACAAAATAAACTCTTAACAGTAAATCTTACAAAATACAATAATAATAATACATGAGAGGCAAAGTCTGAGAGAGAAAGGGGACAGAATTGTTTGAATGTAAATAATTAAGATTGTAAATCAAAGCATTTTCCTTGTAACAGGCAGTCCATTCTATTATACTGATCCATAAGGCCAGGTCAAGGAAAGAGGCTTCCATTTTATTCACAACCAATGAATCCCTGTTAAATTCAAACTGAATGGCACAAACAGCAAAAGTATGAGAATCATGACTGTTATGATATAAATCCAACTGGTCCACTGGTATATATAGGCTAGGACCAAGCTTCCACTTGTAATCTTCTGCTATGCTCTAAACTTTTGATATAAACTTCAGAAGCTTCCACATTCATATGACCATATTCCCGAATGACTTCTTTTAGAGTTTCTGTAACATTATCAGGCATCTGCTTGGCATTTCTGTAAAGTATCAAAAGATGATGATCAAATGGTTTAATGATCAACTAGATCATATCAATGAGGTTCATCTTGAATCACAATGAAAATGTATAACTCGCCAGCTTAAAATTGATCTATTATAGTTTGTTTACACTTACCCTGCTATATAGAAAAAAGCTTTTCGATTTTCTACCAGATTCCAAATTAGTTCACCATTATCTTTCAATCTATGTTGTACATAATCTTTATTTTCCTGTAAAAAAATGTACAATTCAGCAGACCTGTCCAAAATTATATTAATGATTTGGATGCGAGTTCTAAATGATAACACATAATGGCAATAATTTTATATACAGGTGATAAATATATAAAAATATTTAAATTACAGAATTAAATTAAAACCAGTACTTTAATCCCATTGCACTAAGGACAACAATTTTTCACAATTTTGTATCAGGTATCTGATGTCACATGAAAAATACTTCAGAAAGTATAATTAGTTTGAATGCAAACAACCCTATAATTAGCTTATATATATACCTTTTTTACACAAACAGTTTAAAAAAATGCGCATTATACAGGCAAATATATGGTATTTACCAACATATACAAATAAATAAATTTATTAATAAATTAATATTAAAAATATCATAATAAATTCCAAACCTGATCTCTGGAAAACGCTGTGAATATTTTCAGTAGTTCCTTCTGACACAGTTCATTCCATTCCTTCTCAAAATAATAATCTTTGTTTTTATTGCGACAACCAAAAAATAAATAATTATCTGAAATAGGTGGGAAATGTATTTTTATCAAATTGATACTGAAATTATTTAAAACATTTGTATGAACATAATCACATTAATATATTAAACAGACAAATATAATATAACCCCAAAATATCACAAACTAACTTACTTTCAAAGTTCTCTTGCACTCTTTCTTCTATAAAACTTCTAAATGGTGCCAGACCAGTTCCTAGAACAATTATAATTAATCTTGAGAAAGAATGAATCATTCCCTACAGGATAACAACTACAAGGATCCTGTCTACCAGCTGGTCTTTGTCTAAACTTCTTAGCATTTATCTCTGTGAGCGTATGCAGGTATTACAGTGTTTAAATTGTACTTACTTTTACTATGCAAGCTTACAGTTATTTGCCTTAAAAGTAACAATAAATGTTAAATTTTGAAAAACAAATAGAACTTCTGTTGTGGTTTGGGTACATACTTTATACTTTGTACCTTGGCCCAACAGTTCTGTGTGTTTATTAATAGTATGATATCTATAATTCACAATTTCAGGTTGAAATATGCACTATAATGTGTAACCTGTTATAACTGCCTGATGGTGTATGGTATCAATAATACATAATGTTGGTACTGTACCTGGTCCTACCATTACAACTGGTATATTATTATCTGTAGGAAATGATATAGTACCATTCTTTACCCATAATGGTACTAATATATGACCAGTATTTATGCCAGCTAACCATGTAGAACAGACACCTCTTCTGGGTTCTACTATTTTAGTTTGATATTCTACTACTGCCATTAGTATATGGATTTCATCAGGATAGGCCTGTAACAATTGGATAACAAGTTCTAAAAGTTTATTTTAATAGCTAAATAAAGACAAATAATCTAATACAGAATCAAGTTAACCAGTCTCTATTTTGTATAGTCCACATGTCTACTAAGTTATTTTGTTTATATGTTATACTACCATTACACACAATTAGACTTATAGGCTCAAAAAAATAAAGACTGCCTGCTAGGCCATTCTTGATCTATTATAATTGAAACTTGCCATAACATGAACCTAAGCTAGCATATCAAACCTACCTTCTGTGAGGATGCTATAGAGAAAGCTCTTGGTTTTAATGGTGGTATTAAATCAAATAAATAATCAAATGGTATTCTAGGACAGGTTTGAGGAAAATCTTGTAAAACCTAGTTGGAAAGAAATATGGACATTTTTAAATTGTTAATAAATAGAAATAAATCATCATATTTTTGCTTCATTTTAAAGAACCCATAAGTTCAAACTTTTCAACTATTTTTTCAGACAAAGTGTGAATAATTCAATCACTTACAAAGAAATCATAATTCCCCTTTAAGTCTTGTCAGTTGTAAATAATGAATAATAAAACATACTTCTAAAGTTGTTCGTTTCAGTCTATTACAATAATTGTACAAATCTTGTTGACCTTCTGATGAACTTAACTCTTCCAGCTTCTCTTTTTCCCTTTCATCAGTAGAAAAATATGATAACAACTTGAAAAAATAACGTCTTGGTACACCTGATATATCTAGATAATTGGTCAGTAGATACCGTATTGTACATGGTGATGGTAAAGTTGTTGGTAAAAGATAATCTATAATATAATAATATCTAGATAACTAGTCAGTAGATACAGTATTGTACATGGTGTTGGTAAAGTTGTTGGTAAAAGATAATCTATAATATAATAATATCTAGATAACTAGTCAGTAGATACCGTATTGTACATGGTGATGCAGTGATGGTAAAAGATAATCTATAATATAATAATATCTAGATAATTAGTCAGTAGATGCTGTATTGTACATGGTGATGGTAAAGTTATTGGTAAAAGATAATCTATAATATAATAATATCTAGATAACTAGTCAGTAGATACCGTATTGTACATGGTGATGCAGTGATGGTAAAAGATAATCTATAATATATTAATATCTAGATAATAAGTCAGTAGATACTGTATTGTACATGGTGATGGTAAAGTTATTGGTAAAAATAATCTAGAATATAATAATATCTAGATAACTAGTCAGTAGATACAGTATTGTACATGGTGATGGTAAAGTTGTTGGTAAAAGATAATCTATAATATAATAATATCTAGATAACTAGTCAGTAGATACAGTATTGTACATGGTGATGGTAAAGTTGTTGGTAAAAGATAATCTATAATATAATAATATCTAGATAACTAGTCAGTAGATACCGTATTGTACATGGTGATGCAGTGATGGTAAAAGATAATCTATAATATAATAATATCTAGATAATAAGTCAGTAGATACCGTATTGTACATGGTGATGCAGTGATGGTAAAAGATAATCTATAATATAATAATATCTAGATAATTAGTCAGTAGATACTGTATTGTGTATGGTGATGGTAAAGTTGTTGGTAAAAGATAATCTATAATATAATAATATCTAGATAATAAGTCAGTAGATACTGTATTGTGTATGGTGATGGTAAAGTTGTTGGTAAAAGATAATCTATAATATAATAATATCTAGATAACTAGTCAGTAGATACAGTATTGTACATGGTGATGCAGTGATGGTAAAAGATAATCTATAATATAATAATATCTAGATAACTAGTCAGTAGATACTGTATTGTACATGGTGATGGTAAAGTTATTGGTAAAAGATAATCTATAATATAATAATATCTAGATAATTGGTCAGTAGATACAGTATTGTACATGGTGATGCAGTGATGGTAAAAGATAATCTATAATATAATAATATCTAGATAATAAGTCAGTAGATACCGTATTGTACATGGTGATGCAGTGATGGTAAAAGATAATCTATAATATAATAATATCTAGATAATTAGTCAGTAGATACTGTATTGTGTATGGTGATGGTAAAGTTGTTGGTAAAAGATAATCTATAATATAATAATATCTAGATAATAAGTCAGTAGATACCGTATTGTGTATGGTGATGGTAAAGTTGTTGGTAAAAGATAATCTATAATATAATAATATCTAGATAACTAGTCAGTAGATACCGTATTGTGTATGGTGATGGTAAAGTTGTTGGTAAAAGATAATCTATAATATAATAATATCTAGATAACTAGTCAGTAGATACTGTATTGTACATGGTGATGGTAAAGTTATTGGTAAAAGATAATCTATAATATAATAATATCTAGATAACTAGTCAGTAGATACCGTATTGTACAAGGTGATGGTAAAGTTATTGGTAAAATATAATCTATGATTCAAACTAGACAATTAGCCAGTAGATATTGTTTTTAAAAAATATCATTATCTATATTACTAATTTTAATCACTTTTCTCATTTAGATAAAAATATTATTAAACAGGTCATAGGAGAATCTTACCTGGATCATTCATTTCTAGATAAAATACATCATTACCATTCAAACCTAATAGATGTAGAAAGGAATCTATTGTTTTGGGATTATTCTGTGGGGCTATCATAACAACATCACCAGGTTTATAACTGTAAAAGAGTATTATTAGGTCTGTAATATTGATATTTAACTGTTCGAAAATTGTCAAAGTAGAAGTTTCACTTTTTATTTCTAACTTCACTTGTTTCTCACCTGCCTTATATTGTACATTTTGTTGAATAGGTCCTTAATAGAAATGACGGTATGGGCATGGCTGAAATAGCCTTACAACTAAATCAATCCCTTACATGAAAACAAAAGTTATCATAAAAATCCATTTATGAACTTTACTGCTCTCTAAGATTGCAGAGTCTCAATAAAACACAAGTTGTTAATTTAATATTCAAATGCAGAAAAAGGAAACACATGGATAAGAAGGCTCAAATTTTGATGGCAAGCTGTGACAGCACCTACTGATTAGCTTAGCTTAATTCCCATCTGTGAGACTAAAGCAAGATTGATCACATGGATGATGAACATGCTCTATTAAGACTACCTAAAAATAGAGAGGACTGGTCAAACCAAATCTACATGAATATTAAATGTGTGCTTGACTATTAAGTAAAACCAAATAAGCTACAAACCTGATGTTTGATCCCTTAATATTAAACTTTATATGGCGTACATCTTGAAAATGATCTTTAGCTGTTATTCTTTCATTTGATATCAATTCAGCATAAAAAGGATGTTCTAAACATGGTTTATTAGTAGGTGAAGCACTGGTCAGATTTAGATGAGGAATTTCATTATTAGATGAAAATGTTATTTTATATTTAGGCGGTGGACTGAATAAGAAAAGGAAAATTATTTGAAATCTGTTTTAATACAACTCTAAAAATGATATATAATTATATCATTTTAGCGAACAGCTAAACTCGGGTAAAAAATAGAGATTTAGATTAAGCATCATGTCAGGCGACAACTGGGCTGAAGACGAATCAGAAAATATTGACAGAATCAAATTCATATCATATATCATTAACTATTTTAATGACTATGTAATTTGTTCAGTTACTATAAAATTTCGACAATAAATCTGAAAGAAAATGAAAAACAAAATATTTTTTATCATCAATTGGGCAGCCTCTTACAGAATTAAAGCTCTCATACCTACAGTCGGTAGGTTTACAATTCATGCTGGCTAATAGTATCACTAAATCATATCATTTTCCTTCATCCCATTTTTATATAATTATGAAATACTTCATATTCAAAAGAGATGTTATGAAAACAAACTTCTAAAATTCTTACCATATTTTGTCACTCAGTATCTGTTTACCAGGTGGTAGAGGAAATAAATCTAGAAGTTTTAACCATAAATCTTTTAACCAGGAATCAACAACTACATCAGGTCTTCAAGATACAAGACAGAAATGAAAGATAGTTTGTATTGAAAATGGCAATATAATGTAATTCTCAATAGCTTGATTATTCTTTCAATTTTATTTTAGATGCAGTTACAAGTTTTGGTCAATAAAAATATCAATGATTGAAATATAGGTTCATTATCTCAAGAGATAGATGTTGACTATTTCCTGCTACTGAATGCTCAAAATAATTAACAAGGTACTTACCCTAGTTCATGTTGATCATCAGCTAAACCAATGGGCAATAATGTCTCACCTCCCAGCTGAAAGATTCTTTTATTTATCTTCTTTCCTATCACATTGAATCTGAAAAAGTTGATTTCAGAGAAATCTTAATTCATCAGAATTTAATTCACATTTTGTTATTCTTGAATCAATATTTTTCCTATTCTGGCTAAGCATCAAATGTTCCATTGAAAGATTAATGGTGTGGAGCAATCATATAATTTTGGAATTGCAAATGATTTGGAGCTACAGATTATTGCCATGAAAGAGTACTTACTTTTGGTAAGATGAATCACCTAATCCTAAAACACCATATTTCATGTGAGATAAAGAATTTTCTGGTAGATTTTTCCGCAGGATAAATTTCCAAAACAACTGAAATAACATGAAATCATAGTGAAATTTTTATAAATTTATAACAACTACACCTATATCTTGAACATACACTGGCTACATATCAATAGGTCAGCAGGGTTAGAGAGTTAACAATTATTTCAATCAGGGTTCAATCCAGATTGAATTCAAAATGCTCAGTTTGATCTTGCCAATGACATTAGTTTTTTAAGGTTATAGATAGAGACTGCTGCGAGTTACATTACATTTCTAGAATTGACAGAAAATCTCCACGCTTTGTAAAATCTTTTATTTTATTCGTTCATTGTTAAAATTTTAATTTTGACAAAAATGGTCAATTTGAATCTGAAGCTGTGATACAATATCATTTAAATTGAACCCTGTTTTCTATCTACCAATATCATAGTATTAAACTGCCTGATCTAAAATTTGGTCATATAATCATCAAGAATAGTGTAGATATTGTTTTTTGTTTATTTCTAATTTCTAACTAACTATAGATCATCTCATGATGCAAATACATGTTTCAAATACACATGTTCTCAGGACAGCTAGTTTTAGATGACTTGACGCACCTTCATATTATCTGGTGGATCTCCTTGCCCAGTGGTTGCACATACAAAAATAACAGTAGATTCTTTTAATAGATTGGCCTAAAATTATACAATATACAAAATATCTCATAGTATTTGAACACTTTAATGTACCATGTACACAAATATAACAGTATATATAATTCACTATATATGTATAATACATATTTATGCTTGGAAATAAAAAAATGCAGATTATCTGCAAGAAAAACAGTTATACAATAATGTATTAGAAATAACAATTCAATACAGTAGTCACGAGCCACTATAAAACTTTCCTGAAAAATTTCAGAACCATGCCATTCATTTCTGTATCTCAAAAGCAAAATATCTAAGCTTGCAAAATATCAATAAATATTACGTACAATATCTGTAGAAAGGAATAAATCAAATAATTACCACATCAAAACTGTCTAGAGCAATTGCCTTTGCTGAGAAATATCTCCTTTTCGCCTCCCTTGCAATTCTTTCAGCAATATCTTGAGCTGTACCCGTTTGACTTCCATATAGTACTAATAATTTTCTATCTTCAGACATTCTGGAATCAGTGCCAATAGTCTATCCTGTAAGAATCCAAAGAGTAACTAATACGGTAGCTCAACTATAGTAGAATAATGAATATATATACTAAATACCAATATTGCAATTTCTTTACAAAGATACACTCAGAAAGCAAATATTTGTGCTGTTCTATGCATCTTCACTATCTGTTTGACCAATCATGTACCTTAGTATCAGAATATGATATTTTTAAGCTTACATAATCAGTAATAGTGTAACTGTGTCCATAATTGTGTATCCATAATTATTCATGTTTGAAAGTTAAAAATTTGACTTATTAGGGAGACGATGCCATATATAGAAAATACATGTGAAATTTCTAGTTTGAGGTATAATTGAAGGGACTGTGCGATTCTCGTGCGTTCTAAAACTTCTCAAGACTATTAAAGCACAATAAAGACTCAAATCAATCCCCGAGTATGCCAACTGTTCCCCTTTAAAATGCCATCCTCACCAGTTGATAGGCTTCAAATTATCACCTGGCTTGTCAGGTGTGATTCAACTATAAACTTATAAGTTAATAAGTTATCTAAGTCTTCACCCACACCTGTTTATTGATGTAATTGCATCTGTTTTCCACCCTCAGTGAGTTTTGACCACAAGGTTGACAAGTCTGCAACCAGACGCAGGTAAATATTAGATGGTGTAAGATACAAAGATGGGAAAAGATGGAAAAAGCTGGCATGCTAGCTTTCAGGTGATCCTCACTCAGCACTTAAACTGTGTTGAATGTAAGGTTATTTACACTGTAAGCAAAATAACTACGCGTGGACGTGTAAATTATCATTACAACTTACTCCTCAATATAGCTATGAAATCATAATTATCTACTCATTGTTTTATTTGAACTGCCTGTTAGGTCATTACAAAATAAATAAATCATATTATATTATTTAGATCTAAGAAAATAACCATTACTCAATTTGTTTATACCTCGGGCTCGGCAATCAACTGTGGTAAATAAAGAAGATGTTGAATATTTTCTAGAATGTAGTAGAAAGTGCAAGTAGAGTCGGACATGACCTTTGACCACGAGAAGATGCCAGACTAACAACAACATTAGTCCGAAACTTCCGACATTTCTTTCATTTTTCAGCTGATTTCTTTAATGTAAGAATTTTTTTTCCGATTAAGAAAAGCGGAGACAACTCAATATACCAATCCTCAGAAATGCCAGTAACTTCAAAATAAAATCGATTTCATAAGATTAGACTTGTTGTAAAAAAGGGTGAGTAATGAAAGCAATAGGAGTCTGAAGATTTTGCCTCCCCCCTCTCTCTCTTTTTCGGAAAAATAATCTTCTTCGGTTGACATCTATTTGACGAGTTCAGAGTTTAATCCGTATTCCAAATATTTAAAAGCCCAAAGTAGGCCTATTCCAAATAATCTGAAATCCTTTTCGCTTATGTCTGTTCCAGTCATTGGAGCATGCAGAGATTGACAAAAACTAGTCGGTTTCAATCTGTCAAAATTTCGGATTCCCTCTTCATATTTAGAACATGGCCACGGCCCTTGTAGAAGAACGCAGCCCTCGTAAAAGAAGACCCAAGTAAATCCACCACAATGAAAGAAGATTGGGAATAGTATAACATTTTTTATTAACTTGTAAAGAGTTATAACATTATAAACTTGTAAACAGTTATCATTATATAAGAGTTATAACATAATAAACTTGTAAACAGTTATCATTATATAAGAGTTATAACATAATAAACTTGTGAACAGTTCACACAATCTTGTAACATTAAGTTTGAGATCGTTTTACGTTAAATTTGATCAAATTTAATATCAAAATACCAGTAAAAGTTCAAAAATGATATCGCGATTATAAATGAAAATTATACAATAAATAAATATCTATAAAATCAGTGAATATTTACATTTTTACAATCAATGAATATTTCAATATATCTCAATAATTACAATATGAACAGGGCATTTTCAATGCTTACACGACATTTTTACAAGTATTTAAAGTTCAGTGGTTAAGAAAGGAAATTAATACACACATTTTAATCAATTTCTTCCACAGTAGGACCTTGGTTACCACCAGATCGCCCAGTGGGGTCGGTTGATTGGCCGTTAGCTTCACCATGTAGTTTGGTCATTATTGGTGAACAAACCTTTTGTACTTCGTCTAATCTATGTTCATATTCGTCTTTTTCAGCTAAGGCATTATTATCTAACCATTGTATTGTCTCATCACAACATTGTTTAACAGTTTCTTTATCTGAATCGCAGATTTTATCAGCTCCACCATTGTCCAAAACTTGTTTAACATTGAACACATACGACTCCAGTTGGTTTCTAGCACTTATTTTTCTCTTCTGTTTCTCGTCCTCATCTTTATATTTTTCTGCTTCCTGAACAAGTTTCTCAATTTCTTCACTGGATAAGCGACCTTTATCATTGGTGATAGTAATCTTATTGCTCTTACCAGTACTCTTGTCTTCCGCTAATACATTTAATATACCATTAGCATCAATATCAAAACTCACTTCAATCTGAGGTACTCCACGAGGTGCTGGTGGTATACCAGATAATTCAAAATTACCCATAGGATGGTTGTCTTTTGTCATAGTTCTCTCACCTTCATATACCTGTATACTTACTCCTGGTTGATTATCAGAATACGTTGTAAAGATTTGGGAATGTTTAGTTGGTATTCTTGTATTTCTTTCTATGATTCTAGTCATAACACCACCAGCTGTCTCAATACCCAGAGACAAAGGTGCTACATCAACTAACAGTACATCTTTAATCTTCTCGCTTTTATCTCCAATCAATACAGCTGCTTGGACAGCCGCACCATAAGCCACAGCTTCATCGGGATTAATAGATTTGTTCAACTCTTTACCATTCATAAAGTCTTTTAAGAGTTTCTGTATCTTTGGAATTCTGGTAGAACCTCCGACAAGCACCACTTCGTCAATTTTAGACTTGTCTAATTTTGCATCTTTGAGAGCTTTTTCTACTGGAACCATAGTATTACGGAACAAATCCGCACACAAGTCCTCAAATCGAGCTCTGGTTATTTTCGAGTAGAAATCAAAACCTTCAAATAAGGCGTCAATTTCGATGTTAGCTTCTGCACTGCTCGATAATGTTCTTTTAGCTCTTTCACAGGCTGTTCTTAACCTTCTTAAAGCTCTGGAACTCTTAGACAAATCTTTACCAAATTTTCTCTTGAATTCTTGGGTAAAATAGTTCACCATTCTGTTGTCAAAATCTTCTCCACCAAGATGCGTATCACCAGCTGTAGCTAGCACTTCAAATACACCATCTTCTATTGCTAGAATTGACACATCGAATGTTCCACCACCCAAATCGAATATCAAGATATGTTGTTCTGTATCTGTCTTCTTGTCCAATCCATAGGCCAAAGCAGCGGCAGTAGGTTCATTAATGATTCTCAAGACGTTTAAACCAGCGATCACCCCAGCGTCCTTAGTTGCTGATCTTTGACTATCAGTAAAATAAGCTGGTACCGTAATTACAGCATTTGTAACATTCTCACCAAGATAGGCTTCAGCTGTCTCTTTCATTTTAGTCAATACCATAGCACTAACTTCTTCTGGTGAAAATGTCTTCAATTCGTTCTTGAATTCCGCTTGTAACTTTGGCTTGTCTCCGTCCTTCACCACTTTAAATGGCCAGTGTTTCATATCAGACTGAATTGTTGCATCATCAAACTTTCTTCCGATCAGACGCTTGGCATCAAATATTGTGTTGGATGGATTTAAAGCCACTTGGTTTTTCGCGCTGTCACCAATTAATCTTTCCGAATCTGTAAAAGCCACATAACTTGGCGTGGTTCTGTTTCCTTGATCGTTGGCTATAATTTCAACTGCTCCATGTTGGAACACACCCACACAGGAGAACGTTGTTCCCAAATCAATTCCGATTGCTGGACCTTTTGGTGCCATATTTTGAATGTTCACGTATATCTTTGACGTATCGGTTATAACTTGTTGTGTAAAAATCAATAAGCAAATTAGTAGCGAAAGCTAGTCACCCTTCGGTAAGTAAGGAGTTTCTATTCTTGATCAATTTTGGAGTAGCAATGAAGAGTTTATGCTTATATATAAACCCAAGTATAAAACTAGAAAACAGCAGAACATTCTCGATTGTAGTGAGACAAACAAACCTCCGTTTTGATTGGCTGATAATAAAATTCTTGCGTTTTCATTGGTTGGATTTATTATATAACTTAAATTGATAAACATGACTAGCAGACGACAGAAATGTAGAATCTTCTCAAATAATATTGTTCACATGATGAAAAGCAGCGTAGCGAATAGAAAAATGTAGAATTTTCTAGAAGACTACAGCAATAACATATGAAATGTACTCAATGAACCACTCATTTTAAAAACTAGATCATTATACTAAGCTTGAGAAAATTTTGTGTTTTTGAGGAACCTTCCCAATATGTATAGCAGGCTATTTCAGTATAATATTGCTAAGTTTTAGCTCCGTCATATAATGCAAGGTGCTGTGCCACTTTCAAAATTTTCTCTGGGATGAAATGTTGAAATGTGGCTACATAGCTTATGGAAACACATCTGATGTGACAATGTAAAGCATACACAGCCGAATAGTTCCCTAGCGAAAAAAAATATTAACTAGAGAGAAAAAGGTAGTTCTTGTTTTGTGAAATTTTTAAGAGTTTTCAAGGATAGTCTGATTTTCAATTTTTCTCACCATCACAATAAAAAAATTTCTTTACTACAAATATGTTACTGTAATGTAAATTGGTACCCTCCACCTTAAAGTTATGAAATGTCTTAATTGAAAATGATTTCTGTACGTTCAGACAGGATTTCAACCATGTCATTTAAAGATGTTTTTTTTTTGGGGTCAAATTAAGCAAACTAATTGATTACTTCTATTGAATTATCATGTGTTCTTAATCACAACATTATGTTCTTATTGCATATAATTAAGAGTTTTAGCAAATCATAAATGTCCATGTATGTACAGTCTTTATAAACAAAAAAAGACTTTTTGACCTTTCTTCATCGGTCACTCATTGAAATTCTGGTGATTCTCCTTTAAATTAGCTATAGTTGTGAATTAATTATGGACATGTGAGACAAACTGGTATTTTTCCAAGTCATTAAAACACTTCTACTTTCTATTCATAAAAGATATCAAGATAAGTTAATTGTATCAAATACATCCATTAAAGGCATCATACAACGAATGGTACATTTGAGAAAGGTACAAAATTTAAAAAATTCCAAAATGAAACGAAAGATGGATATGTCCTTTATATGATAATAGATGGTTATAATTAGGGTTATATTTATTATAAAAATTACTTATAGAACATGATGAAAACTAAAATAAAGACTCGAATAAAATTCACAGAACATTGTATAGGTAATATAGTACACGATAGATGGTATAATACAGAATATCTAATGTATATTGAACCCTGAGTATATAAGTTAAGTAAATAATATTGTAAAAAAAACTTCAACGTTTTAATTTCCTTTTCTCGGGGCAAGAATAGTTAAAACTGCAGACCGTCCCTGCATTTGTTTCTGACATAGACTGCAGTGATTGTGGGGTGAGGCACAATCGCAAACCATTCCGTTTCTTTTCATAAAGTGAACAACGGAGGAGGAAATGTTCTAAATGTTCATTTTTATTAAATGAAAATGAAATAAATGAAAATAAGAAAACCAATTTTTAAAAACTCTTATTTGAACCCATACAGAGTGATAAGCAACGTTAAACTCAACATCTTTATCCATTTCCTTTTAACATAATACACCAGCAACTAATATAATAAGCATATAATATAATTAAAGAGATAAAACTAAACCATATTAATATAAGGATTCTGTTCATTTAATCAAGGTTGTCTTTGATACTTTTATGAACTCCATTTTCAAACTTATTCCACTTCAAAATTTCAATTAATTTCTGACATGGTATTTTTGGAGGAAGGAATTTCCCATCTGCCAATATTTTTCTGTAACTTTGTTTTACCTCTTCATCTTCTATTTTATTTAATAAAATATTTAGTGTGGTGTCAGCTTTGACTGCTCCTGGACCATAGTTCAATACTCTTATACTTGGTTCTTCTAAGGCAAGTGTTTTAAAATACATTTCTCTTCCAGTTTTCATTGCACAATGAACGGCCCAACATTTGTATGGTTTGACAGCTGCATGAGACGACATATTCACAACTACTTTAGCTTGATCTGGAAAAGCTTGCAAGAAATTGGCATTTAAAGTGATCATTCCAGCTAAATTAACCTGAAAACAGCCACTGATCTCCATAAGATTTTCAAGATTTTTTTGCAATATTTGGTCTGATCCATTGTACCTATATTATGAACTATAATTGCTTGTTGAAAATCTTGCACAATTATTTTATGTTGCTTGAAAATAGAGCCAAACAACGAATCAAAGTCTTCTTTGTTGACTGAACCTTGGTCAAACTCTTTTATAATAACTTTTAAATTTCTCTCCTTACATTGAGGCAATGCCAACACCTCTCCTTTTACTGTCTCTAAGTCAGATCCAGTTCTAGCTAATAAGATTAGCAAGGATTCAGCTTCGAGATTTTGAGCAAGCTGATAAGCCAGGGCTTCTCCAATACCACGACTAGCACCCGATATAATACACACTGACTTCCTCTCCAGTAGTGACATGTTGATGATAGTGTGATGCTTTCTGGTTCTAGAGAGACTAAATTAACACCAGGGAGATTCGTATGCCTGCAGGAAGAAAACACGAGGCCAATTCTTGAAAACTGTATTACAACTGAATACAAATATGGTGTGCGTTCCAGATGACGATTGGTTCCAGTTGATTCGACCCTATTCAGGTCGTTTCGTCTAGAAAGTGCGTTCCATGCAAACAATACCACATGGCCAAATAATTCCCCTCTAAAAAAAGATAGTAGGACTAATTGTGACTTTGAAGAAATATAAGTTAAAATCAGTTTTCAGTCCAAATTTGGGATAGTTTTGTTTGAGTATACCTTAAAAGCAGTGTACTTATTTCAAGTATAAAGTTACAAATCCATGTGATTTTTTTTAGTTTTAAACGTCTGTGACTACGGCAATAAAAAGCCTACTGCAGATATATTAATAACGTGGCAATCCATTTACAGATTTCCATGGTTTGTTATGCAATCGATTATTTTTTTTCCCAATCCTACATTAAGAATCTGAAAGAATATATTTATTACGGAAACGGCCATGAGTCTCAAATTAATTATTATGGATAATCTGTACGGTTTTTATACCTTAAAAGCAGTGTATTTAATTACTTAATAACGAAAATGTGCTTCTCTCGGGTAAGAGCGCATAAGTCACTTCCGGGATTTGTGAATTACAGCATAGAAATGTATAAAGGTCGCCAAAGGTAATTTTTAGAAACTGGAAGTTCTCATGCTCAAACCGGAAGTGATTTATAAATTTTTATGACGCAGTTTTATTTATATTGGCATTCTGTCTATATCCTGTACTTTTCAGATCGATCCGATAATTAGAGCCAAAGTTTTAAATTTCATTTTCAGGCAATATTTTTTCTCTACAAAAATTTTCTAAATTTTAGAATTTACATTCTATATATCTTATTACAAAGAGCATAAAAAAAAGAAAATTTGAGGTAAATCGTTCCACAGAAAGCTCTATAAACCAAATTTTTGCACATTATGCAATATGTCACTTCCGGTTCAGCAAAATTTTTAATTATGATATTCATTTATGATTACGGTCCATTTAAAACTCTTTGGTCAAAACAGAAATGCTCCAACATTTCCCAATTAATTCTACGAAATTTGATGGAAGAATTTGTAGAAAAAAATCATATGATCAAATTCATATTACGGGTGACTAGGTCTGATTATCTACGTGTGTTGTTTTTGTCAGTTGAATAATTGAGAGGTTTATCGTGATGCGGTATAAATTAGTTCTAATATATTTTACAAATTGAGAATATTGAGGTGACATTTCTGGAGTGTAATATATACTTGATTGATTTATCATATACCAGAAAGTTTTAATTTCTGGTAAACAGCACTAGAGTTAAAAGCTAGCAGTTAACAGGCTAGATGTTTCAAAGGGTTTGAAATCCAAGGGATAATGTTTCGTTGCCACGCTCGGAGCTGTCTTCAATCTACTGACTAATTTATCCCCTGAAAAATGAAATACAAATTTGCTTACTGGGTCGTTTTCATTACACTATTGCAATAATATAATATACCACAATGATTTGGAGATCAATATAGATATAACCAGATATAGAATGATAATGATGAGCCTCATTATTTACTAAATGGCATGAATTTTGATGACGATTGAGAAAAAATCTGGCAACACTACACGAGCTTTACTTGCTATTTTCGTATTAAAAATGCAATCTCTGATTATGAATCGATGACATGTTTGCACTTATTTCATTTCATCATATTGCATAGTGACACAATAAAAAATCTCACCATATTATCCATTTTCACATGTAGGTCTTAAAAGTAATACGAAAATAATTAGGCGAAACCGGAAGTAATATGGCGGACAGAATTGTAATTTTCTAGAAATGAAAACAATGAATATTTCTTCAAGACCATGATATGCGAAATTAACGTTAGTTTCATATATATTATATTGTTTCGAAATAGGACAGACATAAAGAGCTTAACCTTTTGTGAAAAATTGGTTCTGCATTTATAAGTCTATTGACATTTCACTTTTAAATTTAAAAGTTCTATACCATATAAGGCTTATCATACAAATAGTCACCTATTTTCGTGTACAATGTTTGATCTATAAATAAGTCAAGAAAAAAACGTTGTATGGATACCGGGTGGTATAATTAACTTCTCTTTTTTAATATCAATTCATTATAATTAGTGACAATTCCTTCAAAGAACCACAATTTAAAAAAAATAAGATACATAGTGTGATCTATTGCTAAAAGTCACTGAAACAACATAAGAATATGGCCCACTTTGTGTTAGAACGAAATTAGGTTACTCGACTGTATGCCATGATACGATCTACTTCAGATTTTTAAGTACTTATGTTACCTTGTTCAGGGACGACATTTAATTTGGTATGCAGTTTTTGTATATACATAGTCTTTTAGTTTGATTTAAACTAAGAGCAAATTGACTACACCTCAATCCAGATATTTTAATGCTGAAAATTTCCATCTAAGCCTGTCCTGTGCTGCTTTTGTTTTAATTAGTTTCTTCATAAAAATCTTTTCAGAATGCAGCTGGACATCTTTTAGATATCTCTAGGAATAAGATGAATGGTTAGTTAAAAGACATTGGACAAAGAAAACCAAAATGCTTTTCACACTCAAGGAAATGGTACGATGGATGCGTATGACAGGATTTGAATTATGGCTTCACATGATATCAGTGTTCATATTTTCAATAATAGCAGTTTTAAAATATGAAGATATAATAACTCAGTCATGGTGGATTATGTTTATACCTCTTTTTGCCTGTGATGGACTAAACGCGTATTTCTGTGTTATTGTATTTATTCGGATGTGTCATGAGGGTGATAGAAGAATAGGTGCATTACGACTTCTTAATTCAATAATGAGTATAATGTTATTAACAGTGTTTAAATATTTACTGTGTAGAAAACTGAATGATCAAGAATCTTTGGCCCCATCAGAAGTTATGGCACCATTATTTATTTTATTACAGATAGTTATGATTCGTGCCTGTAAACTTCATTGATTCCAGATACATTGCAATTCACATTCTTTATCATTATTTAGTATCATTTTGTGTTCATAAAATAATGTGTTTATAGGACAGGACACAAATATGCTTTTGAGTTGAACTTAAACAACAAAGTAACAGCCAGAAAAGAATTGAAGTCAATATGGTCTAATTCTTGTATATTTGAGTTCAAAGCATTCGAAATTAATTTCAGGACAATGTGGAATATATTTAGGATTAACCATGAGGCCAAGAGTTTTAAGATAATTTTCACCATAATAGAATTGTAATCAAATTATCAGAACAATGTCCCAATCATAAAATGTTCAGTATTGCTGAAACACTACTGACATTTTAAACAGATCAATTTTACTTTGTGTCATATATGGTTAATAATATCATCTTGTTAAAAATTACATTTTTGTACAAATAAATCATATTTATAATAAGGTTTTGTTATACGTTTTTGCAGAAAATCTGAACCATGCTTTCTGGGTATTTACTGTTGATAAAAAAGGTAATTGAGTCTACAGTTGAACAACAAGTTTTTAAAAAAGAATATATATGCAGATTTATTGTTTTCAGGGTTTAATTTGTTAATTCAGAAGTACTAGAGTTGATGAAAATCACATGGAACAATAAGTTTATTTATATCGTTCACAATCTTATCTTCTCTCTAAAAATAGGGGTAGATCCCAAAGTTGATTGTCTTGTTGATATAGTCTCTGACACCAGACACCTTTCGTCGCAGCTGTGCATAGAAGTGAGACAGGATGATTGAGTCTAATGTATATATGTGACATCAGTACTAATACCAATTATCTAAGATGAGCAATTTCTGCCTCAGAGACCAATGTACGATTGATCCGAAGGTAGGCTGAATCTGTCCCTTTAAGTTTGAGAAAATGGTTATAGCATTCTACATCAACATAACTGTAATATACCCCTATAGCTAATATTTCTGTCTCTGTTCTGTTGACATTTGTAAACAATGGGTAGCAAAGATCAGGGGTGGGTATTAAATCCCAAACATTATTTAACTACATGTAGTTGAACCAGATGCAGATTTAGTATAAATAATAAGACATAACATAGATTTTGTAAGACAGAAACTATTGAATTATTTCTTTTTTTATGAAATTTATTAGAGTTTTAAAGGATAGTCTGATTTACATTATTCTTTTTAATTTCTTTACTACAAAATATACACTCCACCTTAAACTTATGAAATGTCTTCATTGAAAATGACTACTGTAGGTTCAGATATCAACATCGACATTTAACAAGTGGTTGCCTAGCAAGATACACCCACTTCCCTGATAAATTTTCAGTATATTAAAGGCGGTCCACAATCTGTGTCCTATCGTATCAAAAATCTAATTTATCTAACAAGATATTGTTAATTTAATCAAACACAAAATTTCATAAAGTTTTGATGAAAACTGCCAACAGATTTGATGTATTTTTACTAATTCAAGGGCAATAACTCAAATTCCATTCATTGAAAAATTGTCAAATTCAAACCAAGATCACATTGTAATAGATGATCACGCCGGATTTAATTAAAATCAGGTGAAAACTGTAGACTCTATTGTGTTTACAAACAAATTTTAACGCGTTTATCCTAAGTCAAGACCAATAACTTAAAAACTGTTCATCGAAAAATTAAAATTCAAACTTGACTAAGATCTCATGAATATAAATAATCACACCAAATTTCATTAAAATTGAGTTCACAAGCCAATTGTCGACGGACGGACGGACGAAACGACGGACAGTGACGACGACAGTGATGACTGTGATAGGCTACTTATATGAGCTCCACTTTCAAACTTATTCCACTTCAAAATTTCAATTAATTTCTGACATGGTATTTCTTGAGGAATTGTATAAAGATGCGTAAATCTACGTCTAAACGAAGAAGTTACGACCATATCTTTAATTCGCCACGAAATGTCAGGAAATTACGTTTCAGGGAGTAAAATTCTAAAATTATCTAGAGGAGGTCCCAGATTTCAGAAAATCGTGTTTCCATGCTTCCAATGGGCGTCCTCGGTAGCAATAAAGTTAGCAATAACTCTATAGAGAGCACTTTACGGTAGAGGAGGGGATGGGGTAAATAAACTGCAAACATGTTGATTGTAGGTTAAATCCGACGTCGATGCTACCTTAAAACATAACTTTAATATGTTTATCAAAACTACTACATAAAAAAAAAAATAATTTTTCAAAAAACGTGAAAATTAAATCGTCATTCTTAACATCATTAAAAATTGCCGTGTACAAATTTTAGAATAAGAGAAAGAGAATATTTTCTCTATGATTTATAGCTGGGTTTATCCAGAAAGTACGGAGTGTATCCAGCGAAAAAGTTTATATGTCTACATCGCCCATCGAACCAACATCTCTAGCAAAGGACACCAAGCATAATTATTATGTTAATAACTAGTTTGCTACAGATTCATTCAGCCTCTTTCGAGAACTGATAACTTCCAAAGGGTATTGTAAAATGTAAAAAAGGACAATAGACTGCCCTGATTTCCAGGCCTTTCATCAAAATACCCTTAACTAACATCATCGCACTAAGCTGCATCATACTTGAATAAGATTTTGTGTTAGCATTTCATTACGCATAGTCAAATTGATCAATAGATCTGAAATTACCCATCTATCACTAAGACACAAAGCATGATTATGTTGGTAGCGATTTCGCTAAAGATTTCACAGACCTAGTCATTCACTAGTTCACAAACAACCATCAAGTGTCTTTCATCGAGATTTACATATTTGGACTGCAGTGTGAATGGTCTCTCTGTTTAATGTTATTTCAAATCGATTCAAAACTGAATGACGAAAAAAAACCTAAAATATCAGGAATTGATTTTAATGTCAATAATAAACATAACAAGATAACAAGCATTAACAATAAATAACAAATTAATCAATGTCTCTTCAGTAGTCTCTGTCTTCGTTTAACCTTGGCGATTTCGGTCAGGGATCTTGTATTCTTGGAACGACTTCTTTTATTTCCGAACCATTTCTTGACTTGTTCTGTGTTCAGACTGGAAACCTGTGCTAACCATTCTACTTGTGAAGCTGTTGGATATGGATGATCCAGATGACAATCGTACCATTCTTCAAGAACTTTGAGAGAGTTACGCATTAATACAGGCCTAGTTCGCGTTATTGACGGTGAAGGTCTATCACGAGAAGAAAGTAATTTCAAACTGTATTCAACCCTGTCAATTATCTTGTTTAGTTGAGAGTCAATATTCTGGTTATGGAAGTCCTTCATTGCATTTGACAGTTCGCCTTGAATCGAGTTCAAACGTTCCATTTCAATACTTGCTGAGTA